CCGCCACAGCCGCCCCGCCGCACTAAAAGTGAATGGGCCGACGCGGCTGGGAGGGTAGGTGCAGGGGGAAACACTTGGGCAGCAGCAAATCGACGTTTTAACAATTTGGCTAAAGTTTAATAAACTTTATGAAATGCTGTCCTGAGTGGGAAATGCATGCGCAGTCGGGGGGCCCGCGTGGAGTCGTCGACTCCAATGACAATGATGCGGACAGCGGGTGGGGGCCGCAGGAGGGGTACCCGGCTGTCAAGTGAGTTTTTCGGGGCGATAATGTGCCGGACAGAAAAAGGAAATTCAAGGAAAGCCATGGGACACGCGGCAGCAGGAAACAGCCAAGCAGCCATGAAGCCATGAAGCCATCAAGCCATCAAGCCATGCAGCCATGCAGCAGTTGCCATGTTAGAAAGTTGCCATTATTTCAGTGCTCAGTGTCCAGTATTTCATTTTCCTTTTTTCACGCTCTTTGTCTATACAATTTCAAATTCAAATTTTCGCTGCATTCATCATAATTTTGTTGCTTCTTGGGGATGTTACGCAATCGGAAAAATATTCATTTTGCTTCCCTTTTCTGGTGACATTTGTATGCCATTTTCTTCTGTGCTTACGCAACCGAATGTCGCACACCCATAAATCAATCAAAAAAATCCATTGAAAAGGTGAATAATTTTATCCCACGAATATCGCATCTCAAGCCAAGTTTAGATATCTTTAATACTCCTCAAATGAAAAGCTCCGAAGACGTACGAGTATACTGCATATCTTCTAATAAATACATATGTATCTCCGATCTTTCAAGCTGGTTCCTTCCATCGAAGTGTTTGCTTCATTGAATTTCTATTGGCTTTCGTGGCCAAACTGTATATTAGCATCTATATTTTTTTATAGATTGTCAAATCAAATTATGCATCGCTCCAGCAAAGCAATCGAGGACGGGGGAGTGTCTCTGGGAACGGCCACTCCCGAGTCACACGAGCCACACGAGCCACACGAGCATGTGGAAAGGCACTCCAGTGGCAGTGCCAACGATCGACACCAAACGGCCAAAAAGGAGCCTTGGAGAGAAAGTGGGAAAAATGGCAGAGATCGGTTGGATCGCTTCGAGGGTTATCATTATGCAGCAAATACACATACAGTGGGAAAACAAATTGATGGCCAGAAAGAGATTTCCAAAGGAAAACCTTGGAAACTCCAGATATATATGTGTCTATACAGCTGCGCCGAAAAAAATAGCACCAGGGGACTAATGTTTCTATATTGACGGATTTAGCTTAAATAATGGTTCTAATGAACGTTGTTAAGACTAATATGTAAACTTTAAGGTATAATTTATCGTATCCCAGAGCACTGGTATGATTTGCAAGCTCCAAATGAAAAAATTTGAAAAGAGAAGAATTTTATCAGAAATTTGGGCACCAACAAAAATAGCACCAATTTACAAGGAAATCGAAAAACTATAAAATACAAGGAAACTTTCCAAATTTTTTTGTAAAATATGTTACTTTAGTTGTATTTAAAGGTTGGCGTTTTGTTGTAAAACCTTTGACAGCAACAACAGCAGCTCAGCATATTGGCACTAAAGCTCACCTCATTTTCGCATCTTTTCCTTGGGATATTGATCCACGAACCATGCAGAATACCCCAAACATGTTTAATGTTCTTTGATTCCGCATTAGAAACATATTTTTTAGCTTGACCCAAAACATTAGCAATGGGGTTCAAGTCTGGAGACTGAACAGGCCAATCTATTGCACTAAGTGAATTGTGCTCGAACCACTTTCGAGCTCTCTTTCTAGATCGTTTTGGGTAATTTTCCTAATGGAAGACACAAAACAACTCTATTTCGTATTCTGCATAAAGCAGAATCACTGTTTCTTTGATATTGACATAGACGTGTTGATCCATAATGGGGTTGTGCCATGTACTGGATCACCTGCCTAGTACGAAAATCATGCCCATACGATTTTGCTTGCTTTTCTATGTCTAATGAATTTACATTTGAGTCTGGGGGTTATATTCTGCATTCGGTAATCGTTTCACACAAGAACAAGACCCTTTTACACCAAAAAATAAATTTTGGCTTTAGTCGGACCACAGGATGTTTATCCATTTTCCTTGGCCCAACTTTAGTGCTATTTTGCATACCAAACTTTTTTTGCCCTATGCCTTCCCATGAGAAGTGGAATTTTCCTCGGACTACGAGTACCCATTTTACGTTCTTGTATACAAGATCTAACTTTCCTGGTACTTGACGATTTTTTAAGATCCTTGCTTTAGCTTTGTGGCCGACTTAAATGGGTCCTCCTTGCTCCCACGAACCAGTAGTCTTAGCAGAAATGGGGATATCGCGGCCTTTCTTCCACGTGTTTCTTGTTGGAAACATATTTAAAAGCATTGCTAATCATTTCTTTTGAACAACCGACAATTTGCCCCACCTTAGCATAGGTCCTGCCTTCTGAAATGAAAGTTTTGATCCTTTGGCTTTTTTCTTCACTTTAGTGCTTTCCAAGACCCATAACTACTTAAATTTTGTAACTTTCTTGTCACAATCACCTAAAGCCACCGATTTTTAATTCAATCAAGAACTTAAAATATTAAGAAGCTCCGAAAAGTAGAAGCTTTTACTTAAAACAGTTACTGGTGCTATTTTTGTTGGTGCTCTATTTCGCTCCCCTTTCGCAAAATTGCCTAATGTTATAAGAACCGTTAGAATTGAGAGAGTAAGAACAATCCTCTCAGAGAGGAGACATATAAAGCTACATTATATTGCAGTAAAGTCCAGAAAATGTTGGACAGTGGTCTTGTTTTGAAGGAATAAAGACGGTCGTCCCTACCGGTGCTATTTTTTTCGGCGCCACTGTATATTCCTGAACTAAGATGTGATCTTGTTTACCCTTTTCATATTCATCCATATCCATGGTTCTTTCTCTCAGTGTATGCAAAAGGCAGTTGCTGCTGCTGTTGCTGCCGTTCCCCCAAGTGGAGTGCAAAGAATCTAGTAATTACATGTGTACTCGTACCAGTATCCCATGAATGATGTATTGTGGGGATGCTCGCCATCCGATAGATATAATTTTGATTAATTGAAGAGGGAGAGAGCAAAGAAATTAGAGCGCAATCGGAATTTGACCAGCAGCCAACATCTTGTCGAGTGTGTGGAGTGTGTGGAGTGTCCGAGTAATTACGGGTTGGCTTTGGACCATCTATCCACATCGAGGATATGTACTCGTGGCTGTTTCTGCCAGCTGGATTCTGGAGAAACTCCGACTGCTGTAATGAACTGATAAGCGCATAATTAACATGGCCAGTGGTCGGGGGCATGGCATCCACCTGGCCAACACAGAAAGTCTCGTCTCCCAAGACCCGTGGAGACTCGCATGTGCAGCAGAAATATTTTTGCCCCCCTCCTTTCGAATACAGCGAAGTATTTTTAAGGCGTGTTGTTTGCTGTTTTCAATAGATTTTTGTCTTTAATGACTTTTTGGCTCCGACTCGGACCGGAGTCGAGAGGAGAGGAGAGGAGAGGAGTCGAGTGGAGTCGGGTGAGACGGGTGCTGGCTTTTGCCCAGCTAATGGCTTCGATAGTTTGGCTTTTGTTCTGCAAAGAATCGGGCTTTCTGCCTGGCCAAAAGTCGTAAGTGGGTTTGGTTTAGGTTCGGTTTGGTAATCTATTGGTGTGTCGGCATCGCTTTGACTCGAATACCGCTAAACCGTCAGCATAATGGGCCCCCGGGAGATCATTGCCACGCCACCCGATGGAAGTCTTGGAGCACCTGTTGGTCGCTCACAGATTTCGATGGGATTCATTGGGGGAAATGGGTCGCACATGCTGAGATCGGTATTTTGGCATTCATCTACGATTTGCATGGGATAAAAGAGTAATTCATTTGCCAAGCTTTTAATTACATTGCTAACTGAGGGAAAAACATTTGGAAAGATCTACAAAGACGATCTTTGAGCTTCGAGATGAATAATCTTTCAGCAGTAGACTTGAGAGTCGAAGAAGCGGCTCTACAAGTAAAGGAATCGATAGAATAATGATTCCTAATGCTATTCAAATGTAGCAAAACTTTCTTCGAAGAAACCAAAACTATCAATCCTTAAAGTAGAAAGTTTAAGGTGCAAGGAATCGCTGATAAAAATCTTAAACCATAAAACCATTGAATGCCCAATCATTTTTCCAATACTGTTTTTTAGGAATGTGAATCTATAATATTTTCTGAATTTAAAGAGAGTAGTAAAACCTCTGCAACATGTAGTGGGAAGCAGAATTTCCTTATGATACAAATAGTGGAATCAACCGAAAATATCCTATTTATCGCACTTTGAGGGATTGAAAAATAATAGAACATGCCCTAGAGGGACATAAGTATTTCATTCAATAATTTCCATCAGTTTCAAGGAATTCTACAACTCGGATAAAGAGCCTCCCATTAAAGTCAAATCCCCTTGCTAATATTTTCTGTTTGGCTAAATTGCTAAAACGTTTTCAGACCAGACCAGACCCCATATATACGTATACGTATACGTTTACTACAATAATATTGAACAAAAACAGGCTTTTGAACAAAACAACAGCAACAACAGCCACAGCCACAAAAACAAAAACAAAAACAATAATACCGGAGAACTCATTAAATAAAATGAGAACAAACCAAAGAGCGAAGAGAGCGAGAGAGAGGAAGGCGGAAGGTAGGGAAGGCAGATTGAAGAAACGGAGAAGAAACACTCACAAAAACAATCAGCAGCAACAAATACGAAACCACAAGAAGTTGCACAAATAAAGGCAACAGAAATACCCAAAGATGAAAAGTTCAATGCACGGAAATCGGATTAAGCAGAGAAATTAAGTAATACTCGTACGTAGAGGCTCTGGAGTACTCTATGAGACAAGTGCGAACAATCTATGGGATCTTTGAACGGAAAGTGAATCAGAATCAGAATAGGAAGGAAGCACTTGCTCTGGGCCCTCCCAGGGTTCTCCTCATGTCTGTAAGTCTCACCTTTAAGCAGCTCTCAAGAGGGAATCCATAAATCCAAATGTGTTCCACCAAGTTCAACCAAGCACAAGTTTTCGATTTCTCACTCAATTATGTTTTTGTCAAATGATTTAAGCAGTTGGCACACTGAACGACGACGACGACGACGACGACGACTTTGTATATCGGTAGACGCGCAGGCGTTACGAGTGTTCAGATTACACCAAAAAAACAAAGGGACTCAAAATCGCGCAGAACTGGGCAGGTTTTTTCCCAACCGAACGCGTCGAAGCTTGAAACTCGACTGTGGGGCCCAAGCGCTCAGCCAGCCTCATCGGCAAAACTCGCGTCTCGCTTAAAAGCTCTCTGGGCGAGCTTCGCCAGCTGGCGGTGAGCTTCTGGGCCCCACTGATGGGGCTATTTGAGCGCAGCCAAAGAGACGGCAACGGATTTCCCATACAAATGGTGGCCTGCATTGGCCACATGTGATGTGCTTTTTTGTGTGTTCCAAGTAGGAAATTATCTGATCACTATCAGTAGGTTATCATTTTGAATTCTCTTACGGGGAGCTGGCGAGAACTCTCCAAACGGAACATCACAGCTGGAGACAAGTAACTTTTTATCCCAATCCCTAACTAAATTGGTCAAAATTCACAGGAAACACATTAGCATTTACTTTACTTTATATACTCTACGCATAGCCCACAGTTCCACAGTTCATCTATCCTTCTTTCCTTGTTCCTACCATCTAAAATGCAAAACATTTACAAATTTATCCGAATAATAAGATGCGTATATTTCATAACTTTGTATTTATTTCTCGTATAACTACATAGTGAAATACTTTACGAACTGGCTCTCAAATGGAATGTAAATGAAAGACGGACTGGAGAGCCACTTGAGTAGTTTGTTTTAAATGGAATCGAAATGAATGATCAACAGAATGAAAAATACAAAAATTAATTCGAAAAAGTTCGAGATATTCTCAGAAAAGAAAAGTAAGCCCTTGAAGATCAAACGGGATCGCTTAGGCAGTCCTTAAGGAACAAACAAAACTAACAAAAAGTGTATAAAAACTCTATAGAGTAGAAATGAGTAGAAATCAAAGTTGTGATAATCGACCAGGTTCATATAGAGGTCTTTTGTTGTTGTACATAGTTTGTATTTTATTCAAGTGTTTTGCTCTGTTCTATTGCTGGGAGTTCATATTTTGGGTGGGGGGAGCGAATATGGAGTTACCCGTAAGCTAATAGTATTGTAAATTATATTGAATTCGGCGTGGACATCTTCTCGTTGTTCTACAAAAAAAAATTGGAGATGCGCTTCATTTGGCTCGAAATAGTCGCAGAGTTGTAAAAAAAAAATGATCACGACATGCTTGGCGTATAAATATTAAATCATATTAATATCGGTTAGCATCAGAAACGTTCTAGGAGCTAAGTACGAGTACAATGCTTTAGTTAGGCGAGTAATTTGCTTAGATTTGCTCACTTCTTTGTTTTCTTTTGCGTGATTAACCTTAGGTTTTTTGTGTGTTTCCAACTTGTACAATTACGATACATGTAGTTTGCTTGACAATTACAATTAATAATTGAATGACTCTCTAGCTCTCTAGGCCCGACCCATGTCATCCACGGCCAGCAGGCAGAGCACGTACATCATGCCGGCGCTAAGCAGGGCGGTCACGGGCACCGTCACTATCCAGGCGTAGGCAATGTTCCTAAACAGATGCCAGTCGACGCTGCCATCCTCCATGGGCACAGCTGGCTTCTGGGCTGGCTTTTCCGTGCCCGAACGAAACTCCTTCTTACCCTGCGCCGGGTTCTTCTTGCGACCCGCTGAACTCACATGACCCACGAAAACCACCGAACCGACCTTGCAGTGTGTGGTCGAAATCGGCAAGCCAATTTTGCTGGCCAGCAGTACGGTGATGGCGGCTCCGATTTCAATGGTGAAGCCACTGCAAGCAAGACGAACAGGAATTAGCGATAACATTCTTACATTCGAGAGCCAATCAATTGATTCCACTCACGTCGAAGAGGTAATTTTGGTGAGGTCATTGCCAATGGTCTCGATAACGCGCCGTCCCCACAGCCAGAGACCCACGGAGATGCCGATGCCGCCGTAGATTAGAATATATATTGGACTTTCCGCTTGTTGCATCACCGATCCCTCGCGGTAGATCATATAGAGTGCGATCAAAGGTCCGATGGCGTTGCTCACATCGTTTCCACCGTGCGCGAAGCTGCCGAAAGTGGCCGTAAGGATCTGCAGGAACGAGAACAGCATGGAGATCTCCTGGGTCTCCTCAGCGCTGCTGGCACGACGACCGGCAGCCCGCTTGAACTCGTCCTCTTGCTCATTGAGCGCCTCCTTACTCTCGATCAGCGGCACCTTGCTGGAGTTGGGCGACAGGGTGGAGCTAATCATCAGATCCAGGCTTCCAGCGCTCTCCACCACCTGCAGATTATTGTTGGTGGCCTTGCCACCTGCCCCCGCTACGGCTGCGGCGGCTGGCACACCGCTGGCCACCTGCTGCTGCGACTTGTGCTCCTCCTTGGGCGACTGAACGCGCTTAAAGCACTCCTGAAGCTTGCGTCCGTTCTGCTGCTGCTGTTGCTGGTGCTGCTGCTGCTCGTCGATGAAGTTGAGGCTGGTGATGGTGAGATCGGTGTTGTCCAAGCTGGCCTTGCCCAGCAGATCCTCGGCCTTCTTGATCAGCTGCGGATCGATCTTGTACTCCTCTCCGGGGGCGTTGTTATTCTTGGCCGCGAGTCCAAAGGGCGCCAGCTTAAAGGTCTTGGGGGAGTTGTCGCTCAGCGAGACCAGCTCGGTGATCTCGGCGATGGCGGGCAGCGGCTTTCCCTCGCTAACCAGCGACAGCGGACGACGCTGCTTCTTGGGGCTGCCCGATGGCGAGGATTCTGTAAGAAATGGATTTAGAATCTTCTCTCAGGGGCTCTTTTTATCTGAAAAAAACTCACCCACAGAGTCCTCAAAATTAAACTTCACCGGATTCTCGGCCCTTAGGCGTTTCTCGATCTTTCGACGCTGAAGCGGAACTATCACCAGCTGGGTAAGCACCACCACTAATAGGGACAGGCCCAGGCTGGCACTCAGCGCTATCCAAGTGGGTATGTTGTCCATGTAGAGGAGCTTGGGTCCGTCCAGCACCACGCTGATGACGTTAATGAAGAATGTCACACCGTAGAAGATGGGCAGCGAGCGGAAGCCCGCCTTGAGCGGCTCCTGGGCACGCAAGATGAAGCGTCGTATGGCCAGGAAGAGCAGGATGCTCACAATGCCGCTCATCACCGGCGAGATGAACCACGAGCCCACGATGGTGCCCAGCGTGGACCACTTGAGGCCCTCCACACCGCGTGCCACCAGCGAGAACCCGATGGTAGAGCCTACGATGCTGTGTGTGCCCGAGATTGGCAGCTTCAGGAAGGTGGCGACCAGCAGCCACACGGCACTGCTGGCCAGGGCGGACACACAGCCCAGCATCAGAACCTCTTCGTAGCCCTCGTACATGCCCACTTCCAGGATTCCCTTGCGCATCGTGTCCGACACCTTGTAGCCTACACGAAAGAGAATGATTAGATAAGATCAGAGTATTTTACAGGTCCTTGAATGTCCTACCAATCAGTACGGCGCCAGAGACCTCACAGATGGTGGCCAGGACGCAGGCCTGGCGGATGGTAAGCACACCCGAACCGACGCTGGTGCCAAAAGAGTTGGCCACATCGTTGGCTCCAATGCCAAAGGCCAGGACAAACGCGATCAGGAAGCCGATGACGACCATCCATAGTAGATCCGGCGAGAACGGCTCCATGGTGGTTCTTGATTGTGGTCGTTGGTTGAATGCAAAACTCAAAACTCTCTCTACTGCAAACTTCTACTCGGATTTTGTCTACCTCAGAAGCTAACTAAATATCGTTTACTCTTTTGCCAAAAAACAATTGCGAATCGTGGATTGTGGATCGGATTGGGTGGATGGGTGATGGTTGGATGGATGGGCGACTGGTGCAAAACAATCGATTGGAACTTATAAAATACAACACTACGTAACAAATGATGGTCGAAACAAAAATCCAAATTGGTTAATAAGTGAGAAATTCGTTTCAAATATTCTCTAAACAGCCATATTTGCGCTTAAACTTCATTGTCGTTATTTTCATAATGAAAATCGGTGAACAACTCGCCGCGTGGGATACACAAAGTGACTTAAGTAACTAATGCCCTGAAATGTTTCCTTCTCCCTACAAGATCTGATCTATCAGATCTATCAGATCGATCAGCTCTATCAGCTATCTACCTCTAAAAATATTCAATAAATAGTTAAAATCCTAGAAATACACAATTTGACCGGATGACGAAACACCAAACGAAACGAACAATATTCCAAATTAAAAACAAATCCTTCTCCTTTTTGGCCTGAATAATCCTTGCTGTTCGCCGATGTTGTTGTTGGAATTTCAAGCTAGTTAAGAAGTTCTCATAGACTTAACATAGGCACCACTCTCGTTTAATCCCGCGGATGACTCCTTTTAGCAAATAGTTTGATGGATTAAACGATCAGGTTGTTGAGTAAGTGGATTTTGGTGATGTTTTAGTTAAATCTAAGGAGTTTCTTGTTATGTTGAGTAGGAGTTAAGAGATGTCGAGTTTGCCAACTGAAAGACGAACAGAGTATACAGAGTATAACCATTAAGGTCTATAATATCATAAGCTATGGCGACTTACCTGACGTTTGGGGTAGCTAATTTGTTTCCACCGCAGAAAAGTATTCACCATGTCTGTAAAAAGGAAGAAAACGGATTCCAAATTAAAGGATTATTCATTCAAATTCAAGGTTTATTCGAATCCTTTCCTTCCTCTACGGTAAATACCATTTATTCCCTAACTAGACCAGATCGTTCAAACGTTTAAGGCCAATTGAATCGAATTTATCTGAAACGGAATCTCATAAGCTATCAACGAGATTCGAACCGGTTAAAACAGCTTGAAACCATTGTTGATATATGCTTCATTAAGTTTTAGAGAACAGTATTATTAGATTTTGTTGCGTTTGTCGTGGATTCAAACCCCAATTCCATTCAATTTGCGTACGCGTAGCGTATCCCACTCTGCTGGCCATTAACCGGTAACAACCGGTAATCAATGTGCTTTCCAAATTCAATTGAAAGTTCATTACTGGAATTGGAAAATTTGAGATAGTTTTCCACGGCAAACCCCGCCCCGCGAATAGTACCTTTTTGGCAGTACGGCCCGTGGCAATTCCCATTACAATTCACAATTGAAATTGTAATTGCTGCAATTGCTGCCATTTGTGGTTCAGATTGTAGTCATCAGTGTAAATTTAACAAACAATGGTTTTTATTGTGTAGAATGAAGATCAATGGCTGGCCAGGGCACAGATGCAGGTTATGTAAGCGATTTGCATGTGTTGACATGTCAGAGAGAGCTCCAATTGAATTCTATCTGTGTACATACCTATTGTATCAATTCCCCACTCGTTAATCTCGTAATTAGCCATCTGGCACCTTAATAAGCCAAAGAACAATACCATCTGAACAAGGCGTCCCTCTTCCACGCAGAACAATACACATTTGGTGTCCAAATACTCGTAAAGCAAGAGCCTCTTCCCCTAGTGTGGCCCCACACAGTGGGAGAAGAAGAAGGGGGAGGCGTGGAGGCGGCCAAAGGGTAGTAACCAGGACAATGGCTGACACTGTGTCGTGACAAGGTCGCAACGCTTTATCCTGATTACGCTGCAGCTGACGTATGGTCGCGAAATTTCCATATTCGCGTGCGAAAAATCCTCACAGTTCGAGAACATCCTACGAGTCCCTACTCCCCACAATTCCACAATTCCACAATTCCACAATTGCACAATGAAGCATGTAATCAGAGTTCCTGCGTCAATCCATTCCAATTTAGGGCAATTTCGAACTTTACAACTAAAAATGCGCCGAACACGCAACTGCGGAACGTTTTAGAGCCATTGCAGTGCTAATAAAACTGTCGGGGAAATTTTGTAATGGCCTCGAACCTGGAGGGCCACAGAGAATTATGGCATTTCAATAAAACATGCATAAATCGGGAGCGAATAGCTCGCACAGTGGGGCAAAGGTTAATCGCTTGCGGCACAGGTTGATTCAACATTATGTAGCATAATATATACATTTCATTTTAGCGATGGCGCCCACTGTCCCTGCAAGCCATTGTGAGACTGGAAACTCTAGGCTCTCTGTAATTTGAATCCACCGTTAAGGCATAGCAGCATGGTGCACAAAGAGAGGGAGAGGGAGGGAGGCATTGCATGGCACAGAATTGGAATTGGAGGCGCAAATTGAAATGGTTTGAATTGTGAGTGCAGCCGAGTGTGATATGGAGGATAGAGGCGTACTCCCACCTGCTGATGGTTCCAGTGTCAAGGCTAGACGGCCGCCGGCATACTGCATTTAGTATCGATTTAATTTTCCGTATTTTCCGGATCGTAGCAGGCACCGCCTGGCAGAGTGGTTGCATTCAAAACCTGACACCCGTACCGTTTTCAGAGCGCTCCACAACGTACCACCAAAAACAACAGCGAGTGCACCCTTAACACAAATTCCACTTGTTGTTGTGGTGGTTGGTTTCCCTCTTGGGGGTGGTTGCTGCAAGTTCAAGGTCACTCTTCGAATCCGGCCGGGGTAACTTTTTGGAAATTAACACCAGCTCATCCAGTTGCCGTAAAACTGCACGACGGAGGGCACTCAGAGCGTGGCACATTCCAATCGATAATCCGCCGCTATTCAAAATTTAAAATGCTTTCATGTGTGAGGAACAAATAATTAACAAACACGTGCAATAAATTACAGGTCTTCAGCAGTTTGCGGAAAACAAATCAAAGAGAGTGCCTGAATATCTAGCAATACCCTAGCAATTATTACTGACAAATGAGATGGAAACTCATCTGCTGGATACATTTATGTAGGTACAGGGAACGTTCTTTTGCCAAACCAAAAAGATCGAACCACTACTGCTATTTACCATTCCAGTCTTTAGGGATTTACTAGCATATGTACATACATACATATGTACATCTGTACGTACATATGTATCTATTGGAAATAAATTCCCATTGTAGGAGCTTGATTGGAAATACATATGTACATATGTATATGTAACTGTCAGCATAGGAGAGTAATCACTGTATTCAGTTTACATTTCACAATTTCGCAAAACTGCGAACGAAGCTACACACGTCCGGCTGACTGTACCAGGCTCGGTGTGCAAACAGAAGGGGATACTCTTACCCATTACCGATTTCCTGCTCTGCCTCTTTCTCTATTCTGGACATTAACATAAATAAGCGTGTAGCATTCCCCTCAATCATCTCGTTTAGAGTTGTTTTCTGGACTTCTTTTTGGGGTTTTTTCCATCACACGCGATCCGCAATCGGATCACGAGTTTGTCGGCTGATTCTAAAAACGTGTGACGGGGCCGGCCCGGGCCAGACAAAAGAAAAAGAAACGCAACGAGCGCAAATTTCGGCGGACCCGACAAGCAGGCGCGTCTGGTGCTGCCTCATTGAATTTTACATACATACATATGTACGCACATATGTGTATATACATGCACACGTATACGTATGTATTCAAACAATTATTCTATACATACATATGTATTGGAATTCCATTGGGCAGAAACAAAAACAAAGAGGAAGGTGAAGAGAGTGAGGGAGGAGAGCATCTATGATCGCGATGTGTTCCAGAGATCTCAAGGGAATCGGGTTCAATGTTCCACCAGTCTATAGAGATTCGCTGCTTTTCCATACATTTTTCCACAATTATTTAAAATCATATCTATCGGAAGATAATTAAATTTTTTAATAGTGAATTGCCCATATACATATGTACATAGCTTATTGATTAACTAAGCCAAAATAAGATAAACAACAACAAAAATTGCCGCATTGGCAATCAGCTAAAAGAGATTTCAAACTGCCTTGGCATTTTTAGAGATTTTTGGAACACCGGCGATAGGAAGACAGACACTGAATGCGGGGAAAGAGTAATACTGTACTGTCAGTGTTGGGAGCGGGCTGCCAGGGGCAGAAAAAGAATCGGTTCTCCGGTGACCTTGCGAAATGGCTGCCCACAGCCCACACTCGTTTCTCCCCTCAATCTGTTTGGCTCGTGATATCATTCATGCAGGAAAAATTGTTTTTTTTTGCAATTCGAAATTGGGTTGTTTGACGCAAGCAGAAAAGGTTGAAATATGGAAAACCGAAATACCGTGGGTGTACAATAAGCTGTGCAGTTTCAGAGTAACTGCATCGCTCTCGTGCAGTCGTAGAGCCAGTAGGGTTATTTGCCGCGCGCTATTTTAAAATTGAAATTGGTTTTATTATTTTTCTTTTCCTGCTGTTCTATTTTGTTTTCTTCTTTTGCTTTTATATTTAGTTCGTAGCCGAAAAAAACTGTACACAAAGTTGAAGTATTTGGCCGTTCTCCTCCTCTCACTCGCTCTGTACTCCACGGCACGAACCGTAAGACTGGCACAGTGGCTCGATTATGCCCATATCTTATGGTTCAACATACTTATTTCACGAAATGGTAATTTCATTGCATTTTTCAAAGTAATTCCTATTTTGCATAGTTACTATTCTTAAATTTTGTTTAATGAACATAACCACATAATACTTTTTCAAGCCACACGGTAATTGCAAAATAGGTGCAAAATTCTGATAAGAAAGAGTGTAACCAGCTTGTAGAAAATTTCACAAAAACAAATCTATCAAGCGGATGAGGCTGTGCCCTGTGCCACCCCCAGTGGGTGGCACAATCATGAATCATGCTGTGTTGGGTCACGGGGAGCGTGGGGGAACAGGAATGTAACCGTCATCCTCGAACAGTCTGGAAGCTGCCAGAGGAGATGAGAGTAAAGGAGAGAGTGTATGCCATATGAGCGTGAGTGTGACTGTGAGTGTGCGCAGGGTGTAGTCGCATCCTAACGATTTGTTGCTGCAGCTGCGAAAAAAAAACAATGATCCACAACAGACGAGTTTGAAAACAGCTGCACACGGGACGGCCAGTGCATGCAAAACTGAAAGGAACAACTGTAAACTGTACTCAACGCGGGTCAGCGGCGAACAATAAAAAGAGCATGAAGAAAACCACAAAACTTATTCAGCAGCAAACCGTTTTCCACCTCTCACCACCCCTTTCACAGTTTCTTCAACCAATTCCGAATCAATTTTCGTGTCTATTGATTTTTCTAGGCAAACACACAAAAAAAAAATTGGAATTTGTTTTACAGCTAGACAGCGTCCAAATGAAGTTTTATTTATTTTGCATTTGTGTGGAAATATATGGCAAAAAATGTATGTATGTACTCGCACACACACGTACACCCACGCGGGTTGGCGAAAACACGCGGCGCCATCAAGACTACAGAAGGATACACAAGGATATTCACAAACACACATACTAACGCGCACCAGTATCTGAGACACTTTTTGAAAATCATATTCCTGGCCTCTCGATCCCATCCCGGGCTTGACAACTTTTCTCAGACCTAAGGTAACTTGTCCGCTGTGGTACTCACTTGAATAGCAGCACTTTTTTAAATCAATAAATTATTTATTGAATATATTTAAGTTGGACGAAGTCGCGCGCAACCACCGGCTTAGCTCAAGAAGTATCGTTATCAGTTATCGATAAAATGTAATTTTCATGAAAAAGCGTTGACCCACTTAATCCACCCTTAAAAAGCATATATTTATACAGGTGAAAAGCTTGAATTAAATCGCTGAAAATAATACTGTTTGTAAATAACCTTCAACTTTACTCAAAAAAAGGACCAGATGTTTTTCACCTGAACTGAGCTAATATTCTTCAAGTTGCATCGTTTTCGTTGAGTGTATTTGAAAACGCACTGGTCTACAATGGGTTAATCTTTCTCTGACCATGATCGGAAATCATATATCTCGATTTTGATATTTGTTATAATATTACTAGCTAGCTGATGATTAATTGATGAATTAATTTCCTAAAAGATTGGCTAATTTTAGAGACTCATTTTATTGGATTGTGTCTCTTTTTATACATGGTAACTACACGGTAATTACACATTTTGATCCATGCGACAGAATAATCGCTAGAGCTGCGCGCCAAAATGGAATTCAAAATTCAAATACCTGCGTATGGAAGTTACTATACGAACTATTAAGCGTGCTCAATAACTAAACGTTGTTAAGGTGTAAACAGAAATTTTGAGTTATTGAGTTAGCTGAACTATCGATAGGTACTCATTTCAGTGTAAATAGCCTATTATCTATTACCAAGGAACTGAATACTGAAGGAACTAGCTCTATTCCTTGATAAAGCAAAGCTACAGATACCAACCGTATTTCAATCAGACTGCACAAAAATAAGCTTAAAATCATGAAAATCAAATTAAAACCATTAGCTGGAATGCCCATAAGCTTTTTGTTTGTTTTTTTTTCAAACCATTCGGCTTTTTTTACTCTGTTCAAATCGGTAAAGGCTCTCTTTTTCGCTCTAATTGAACACGAAAACGAGCAGTATGTCCCGCAACATGGGCAACATTCTGCATACCTTAGGGAAAAGGATATTAGAGAATTGCGCAAATTTGTGTCATCCCAGGCTCACAGGAATGCAGAAACTAGTAAGTCTCTGTTTTAAAGGTATTTCAGCGATATATTGAAGGTGGGTGGTCTTCTTACAGAGACCAAAATTGGTATCGAGATCTGGATATATATACAAGAAACTAATCAAATGCATGAATACGTCTACTACATATCAATTTGAGAAAATATATCTATTAATTACGTTTTAAAACAGTTTAGGACCTCGTTTGAGAGCTCGACGTGTGACGTTTTTGTAGTATCACTAACCATACAGTATACTGTATGGTTAGTGGTAGTATGAACTGGCAAATCTACATATGTATATACTGTATGTTTAGTGATGAGACGGTATATTTATACAGTATGGTTAGTGATGAGACAGTATATTTGGGTATATTCGGTCAGCACAGCTCTTCGAGTGCTATTGTTGCTGTTTTGGCTGAGCTTCTGTTATTGGGAGAGACAATGGAGGAATGGTAAGCTCGTGCAGGGCCAAAAATATAAATGGGCTGTCAACACACGTATGAATCTTGTTCCGCAGGCTAGCCAGCGCCTTTAAGAACCTGATCGTAGAGGAGGACTTCGCGGACTGTTGCGTGATTGTCGAGTTGAAACGATTCAAATGCCATAAGATGATTCTAGGACTCGCCTCGGACTTTTTCAAGCGCGGATTCCAATCCGACTTCGCGGAAGCTGCTTCCGGAGAGCTTTGGCTGTCCGACACTACTGCAAAAACGTTCGAAAAGTTCCGTCTCTTTGCGTACACATACGATAAGAAGGCCGTCGCTAGCTACGACAATGGGGAGCTCATCAAATTGTTGGACTGCGCCACCATTTACCTGGTACCAACTTTAGCATCCGTCTGCATGGATATTATCAAGCAAAGAATACCAAAAATGAAGTATCCCGACCTGCTGAAGGTGTTTGAGTATGGGCATCACATTACCAACGAGGATTTAATCAAGGAAACGTCCCAAGCCCTGCGTTGCCTTCGCGGGCCTGTACCTGTTGAGGTTTATCAGCTGGGATCCGACGTATTCAGGGAATTCATCAAATTACTTTCCCTGTCGGAAATCATTCGTTTTGAGACTATTGAAAAATATGTTGCCATGTACGGCTTTGTCTCCCTTTGCGAGTTTAAATGGCAGTTCAAAGGCCTATCCTCCCAGTCCAATGAAAAAACCGATGCATACGCCAACGAGAATCCATTCAAAATCGAGAAGAGCGACATTGAATCGGACAAAGGTACAGACCAAGAGCCAAAGCGACATAAGGTCAATAACGAATATGTCAAAGATCTTTTGACTTATGTGAAATATGAAAATATGAATGTCCACGAATTTTACGAGGGCCCCGGCAAATCCAGGCTACTGACCCTTGAATCCAAATATGATTTGTTATATAAGATCGCAGCGAAGGAATGTAAACCTAGAATAGTACGCATGCCATTCCATATCCAATAAAATCAGAGAAAAATCATTTGATTTTTGTTTCTTTAATACACAATATGTCCAAACACTTAAATGGGATTTTCTTCATTAATAAGAAATAAAGTGCAATCGTTCCTCCGTACATATATATATATACGTATATATATATATATATATATGTATATATATATATATATCTGTATATATACTAGATGGTTTGTATTGTTATTGTATCCGTAAATTTGTAGATATTTTCTTATTAATTTTTCATCATTTTATGTTTTTGCTTTGTATTTTAATGTTTTTAAATCGATATAGGTAAAGGTATGTAGATAGGTAATAATATTCATTCGCCTGTTTGCTTTTTTGTTTTGTTTGTTACTTGTGTGGTTGGTTGGTTGTCACGTGGTTGTCCCCTACTTTATCGCTCCTTGCACAATTCGGTCACATAGCTATAACATCTTAAACATCATAATCATAATCAATCGTATATACTTCTATATAATTTTGTTTGTTTGCTGTTTTACTTTCGCTTTAAATCTTAATCTAATATTTTACTTAGAGAGTAGCGTCATCGAGCATATTGAATTCGTCAGATCTAGGGGGTTGTAAGGTAAGGTTAAGTGGTAGCTTGGGGATCTCGAATTTGGAAAAATGTGCATGCCGTTGTACGGATGCACGGCCAACATTCAGAACACAAACAATCTTGCATTGGCTGGCCGTTCATCAAATATTCCATATCAATTTATACAACTTCTTCGTTCGCGTTCGGGTTTGGTATTTTGTTGGGTTTTTGTTTTTTTTTGCTAGGTTTCTAGGTTGTTGGATTGGCAAATTCAATATACAAGATGGAGATACTTTTTGTTTTGCTTCTAATCTTCTCTTCACGTGCGCTCCGCTTCGCTCTGCTCTGCTTGCTGATTTTTACTGAGTTTCGGTGTCCGTCCGTCCGCAGCCGGCTCTTACTACTCCTACTATTTTGCCTTGCTTTGCCTATGCTTCTGAATGCGCACGCATCAGAGCACCTCGGACACATATTTGGGTCTTTTGGCCACGGTGGCATCGGCAGTAGTGACGCACTCCTCCTCGCTGGCCTCGATATGGCCACTGTAGTCGGTTGGCAACTCCTCGTAGATAATCTCTTGATGCTGCTGCTGTTGCTGCACCGCCGCCTGCTGCTGATGGTGAAGCGTGGCAGTGGTCGGGTGGGGTCCTCCGGCCGTCACATGGTTTCGCTTAAGCGCAATCAGGGCTCCGACACCACCTGCATTCCCTCCTCCCTCTGTATGCGCCTGCTGCACGGCAACGCCGGAGTTTTGATTGGATACATAGTACGGACTGCCGCTGCTGCAAGAAAGACCAATATATGGAATATACCATTTGCCTACGGTGACCAGATGTTCCCTGTACACTAACCTGTACTGATTGGAATTATTGGACAGCGTCTGCTGCTGCTGTTGCTGCTGCTGTTGTTGTTGGTGCTGCTGTTGCTGGTGTGCATTCTGAGAATTATAGATGATTTCTGGAATAGAAAAGCACAGAACGGCGGACATCAGTTGAAACATGCATTGGCCAATCCATTGATTAGTCTAAAAATGGCTCTCGCTCTTACCGGCATCAGCAGCGCGCTGTTCCATCGACATGCCTGGCGATCCAGGTGCTGATTGCAGCACGATATCTTGAAGCGGCGAGCTCTCGCGCGAGTTATCTGGAATGTACAAATGTAGGTTATACTAGGATAGCGATTAACGCACACAATCCATCCACATACCCATGTGACTCGGGGAAACGGGCGCCGAACGGGGCATGCCATAGGGCGGACGAAAGCCCTGGCTGCTGCGCTGGCGACGCTTCTTGTAGCTGTGATCAATCAGCTTGGCCCCGCTGTCCGGATCGATGCGCCAGAATGAGCCCTTGCCTGGCTCGTCTTGGGAGCGAGCCACCTTGATGAAATACCTGCAAAAGCCGGGAATGGAGGATAGGATTCAGCTTAGCTTTGTCTATGTGCGATTCAATGTGGGTGGGATCTACCTATTCAAACTGAGATTATGACGAATGGAATTCTGCCAGCCCTTGTTCGTTTCCTTGCGGTAGTACGGATAGTGCTTGACAATGAACGAATAAATGCCCGAGAGCGTCAGCTGCTTGTCTGGCGCGGCGGATATTGCTTGGACAATCAGCTGAGCGTAGCTGTACGGCGGCTTCTCGTTGTGGTTATAGCTGGCTGTGGAGGGAGTCTGGAACAGATCCTGCTGTGAAACAGAAAAGTCAAATGAGTACATAATATTCACATAAAGGTCCCATATAGTTACCGTATTATTGTTACTGTAATTGTTGTAATTGTTGGGCTGATTCTGGTGGAAACCCTGACGAGGACTAGCCGGACAGCTGTTGGCGGCGCTAATTGTACCTTCGATGAAGAAAAATATCGTCCATTAAAAGATAGAGTCAATACTGATTCGAGCAGCCTTTATAGAACATTATATTTCAATCTTTCTTCCTCACTTATTCAACCTAATTTGAATCCTTCGTTTGGGTCAGGGCCGGGTTGGAGCTGGGCCCACCCGCTGTTGGGGGCGGCTGTACATCCTGGGAAGCCTCGGCTTCGGCGGCCCGCTTTTCGCGCAACCGCCGCAAGCGTTGGGTAAATACAATCGCATACATTGCGGCAGCCAAACCCATTAACACGCTACTCTCTACTTCCTACGAAATAATTTTGAAAATCTACGAAAGCAATTTTTTTTAACAGTTGCTAAAAAAATCAGTTGATTAAAACATGCTTGCCAGCACATTGATTTGGAAATTTTACACCTATCTTTGGCTATTCTACGAGTTCCGTGAGGAACTTCAGCTGCCTGCAGCTTCGGCTTATATCTTTAATGTTCTGGACACAACTGGAATCCGGCTTCCAATTGGACACTTGCTGATGGGATAAAGTGAAATTCCACTTGCCAGTTGGTGATAGATAGGGGCTCTTCTGCTCCTTCTTGGGTATGGATATCTTGAGCGGTGCATAGATGCCGGTACCGTCGACGGCGCTTATCAGATGAGCCGGCGCTGCTTGAGGCACCACAACGACGTTGCCGCCCCTCTGCTGCTGCTGCTGAAGGGCTGAATGGTGAAGCGGGTGGAGAGGTGCGTGTGGGAGTGGGAGTGGAAGGAGCGAAGGCTGCTGCTGGTGCTGTTGCTGCTGCTGCTGTAGCAGGTGATGCGCTGGCTGATGCTGCTGCTGCTGCTGTTGGCTGTGATGGTGGTGCTGCTGCTGCTGCAGATCGTCTCGTGGCGGCGGTGTGATGATGACATGAGCTCCAGTGCTCCCGATGGCATTGTGGTTGTTTCCCGCATGAGTAGCCGCAACCGTGGCGAGGGCTGGAGAGGAGGCAGCGTCAGGAACAACGTTCGCCAGAGCGGCCACGTAGCTCTCAAACTCTATCCGAATCTCCGTGCTGGGGAACCGAAAGTAGCATCTGCAAGGGAGGTTAACGTAACGGATTAGCCTATCGCTAGCCACTTCATCGTTTAACTTACCGCGGCGGCAGCCTCATTGGATCCACATTGCGGCGCTGCAGAAAGTCGTCGACGAAAATGCCGTTCTTGCTGAGGCACTGCACAAAGAAGGCGCGCACCTCCAAGTCATAGAGCACTTGGAAGTGCTTCCGCGAGACCAGGTTGTTCTCGGCCACATTGAAATGCACCAACGACGTGGAGGAGTTGCGTCCGATCACGGTGACGGTATCAGTGATGGGCAGCACTTCCTGGTTGAAGCGCAGCTCCCCATACGGCGGTGTTGTGGCCGAGCCCCCTACGGATGCGGATACGGAGGAGGAGGTGGTGGCAGGTGGGTGGTTTGCTGAGTTGTTGTTGTTATTGTTGCTGCTGGCGGCCGTCAGTTCCGAGTTGTTGATGCCGCCGGCGCCGCTGCTGCTGCTGTTGTTGTTGTTGTTCAGCACTGCTGCAGCCCCATGGTGCAGCTGCAACATGTCCTTGGCGATGGCAACAGTGGCGGCGTCGGCCGCGCCGGCTGCTGCGGCAGCGACTGCAATGCTGGTGGGAGTGTTCAGAACGGTGTGTACCGTTAAAATGTGATTGTTGCTGCTGCTGCTGTTGCTGCTGCTGTGGTGATTGTTGTTGTTGTTGATGGTGCTGCTATTGCCGGTGGTTGTTGTTGCTAGTGTTGTGGTTGTGGTTGTGGTAGTGGCGGCCATTTAATCCCACTTTTACTATGCTTACTTACTGTATTTGTCGGGGCCTAAAATGATTAATAAAAAGATTGATTTTCGGCAAAAGTACATCGAAAGAAATACTCCCACACCACTCTCATGCATACACACACACACACGAAGAACTTTGTTATTATTTGATTTCGTTTTCGAATTATTTTCCAATAAAATTAGTTAATTTTGTTATTCTCACAGTTTTTCACGCGGCATTCGCACATTTTTCGCTTGTCCCAAGGTTCTTAAATATTTTCCAAATATATACACACAGATACGAAGGCGCACACACACACACCCGCTGCCACTCTCCCTGCTGACTGGCATTTTGTGTCCCCCACTCTGTCGCTGTCTTTGCCTTCGTCTTCCACTTCGTTTCTGTTTCGGTTTTTGCTTTACTCTGTTTTGCTACCGCAGCCGCCGCACAAGCACTCATACAATAATCGCAGTCACCCATACATATGTGTGCATTTATGTATCTACATATGTGTTTTGCTCGGCAACAAGAAGAAGAGAATAAAAATAATAATAACACTACTACTACTACGCTACACTACGTGAGTAAACACACATACACACACACAATAGAAGCGCACCGAAAATAAGAGCAGGGTTCACGCGTGCGCTCTATGATTTTCCCGGGCATTAATGGCGTAATGTGGAGTGTGATGCCGGCGAGAGCAACACCAGGCAGCGCAATGGAAAATGCCCCCCCCCCCCCCAATACCCTTTAAAGAGACAACGTAAACGGAGCTACGGTTTTTATGCCCGGTATACAAAAAGTTACTTGTGTATATACTGACTGAGCACCGGGTATGAGTACTGTCGCGGAACGTTTGCCGCGACTCACGTACAGACTTGTTTATATTTGGATTTCCGCACCATTCTCTGTTCCCATAACAACAGGATTTCGCTCTCCTCTCCGCACACAATGTCTTGGTGACCAGTGTTGCCAAAAAAGGTCCAAATGACATTTAAATTTATTTAATTAATTTAATTTAAGTTAAAGAAGTCCGCCAATTGAAGCTAATTCTGGGCATCTACGGTCAACAGAGCGTATATATGCATCTCGCTCACTTTCATTGGTTTTGAGACGGAAAATCAAAGGATAACGAAAATTTTTTTTTTAAAACTCAATGTTTTTCACTAAAATGTTAGATAAGTGAACTAAACTATTTTAAATAACTATTTGATGCATTTCTTTGTAACCGATTCAAATCTTTCTTTTCAGAGAGGTTAAACAGAATTAAATTTATTCCTAATAAGAAAAGTTTGTTATTACACACATACATATATGCCGAGATCAATGTTTCATAACTTCGGATTTGAAGTGCTCGTCTCCACGTGCTTCTACTTTTTTAGGGTTTTTTGGAAACTAACAGTACAGATCCGGGAATTAAATCTCCGCAAACATAAAATTAGCTGTTCGGTATTTTTCTGTTCTATCATAACAGTGCGTTGTTTTCGCCTTATTAAAGAATATTTAAGTTTATCAATGATATAAAATTTCAAATCAATGTTACAATTATGATCCCTTAGAAAGTTAAAACGTGGGACTTCCCAAGAGCAACATAAATATATGTATGTACACATCTTGAAAGCATTCCAGATCACTTACGAATTATTTATAAACCAGAGCGCCAATGGAAAGTCGAACAGGTGTTGTCCAAAAAAAAGATTTCCAACCAGAAGTGGATCTATGTTTTTGAGCCACTGTTTTCGCTTAGACGACGCGAAGACGGTTCTCAGCAACAGAAACGAACGAGCTTACTTTGGTTCTTTATTTATTTCGTGGGCTTCACACATACCAACAAAGCCGATTCTCGCACTGACTCTCCTCCACAGCACCCCACCACATGGTTCCCCAACCTATCAATCGATCGAGCTTGCATGCATAAACATGCAAAATGAAACCAAAATAAAATTAACGAGAACAACAAAAGGCAAACAAACGCCCATACATACATACATATAAATAAACCCGCACACAGCTATATACTCGTTTACGTAAATACACACATTTACACACACACAGCGCACACACATAGATAGCGTATTGGAAATGCGTAAAAAATGCCGCTCGTTGATTTTTCAGCTAGCAACCGACTCCACCTGCGCATACATATTCACATATACTCAGATGTGCATGTTTGTCTCACAAAAAGCACACTTTTCACTACGGTCTTCTCGCTTTTCGCTCGGCGATTGCGTAAACTTTCCGCCCGCTTTTTTTTCCCACCTAACATCAAAATATGTACACATACTTCAGCCTACAACACACACCACACTCCTGCGCTGGCAAGTGTGCGTGTGTACAACACTTGAGCATGTTCCAAAATTTATATATTTATAATTTTACTCCTCTCGTCTTGTCCTCTCGTCTCATCTCTGTCTCTCTCTGCTATTGGTTTTCTCTCTTTCTTTCGCTGTTTATATTTTTGCACACAACACGTTTTTCACTGCGTGTTTGTGTGTGTATATTATTTTTCGTTCGCCTTGTTTATTTTTCTTTTTTTCGTACCTTTTTTCTGCCGTTCTGCGCTCGAATTCCGGAAACTTCTCTATTATATACGTAACACTAGTATTTGAACAATATTTTAAAGCCAATTTGTGCACTTTTTCAGCGATTTTAATGCGGTTTTTCCTATTCTTATTGCTTGCAGCGCAGCGCGGTCCGCAGCACGATGAAAAGGAGAAGAAGAAGAGAACGGTCGTTCGACCGGGTGGCAACGCGTGCTCGAAGACAAGCAAAAAGAAAGACGCAACAAACAGCGCACAATGGCTCGTACTCCGAAAATTCGTAAAAAAAAATTTGATTTCCAGTTGTTGCATCTGGCAATACTTTTGTTACACTTAAATTTAACGAAATTCAATAGCTTCCAACAAAAATTATAAATGCATGTTTAAATTGTTTTAAAGGACCACATTTGAGTTTGACCGTTAATTACGCACTTTTTAAAGTTGAAGAGGGTGTTCAATTTTTCGTTCAGTTTATAAGTCAAAAATTTTGCAGTGTGCTTTGAGAAAACGACCCACTGTGCGGTGCATGTGGTTTTCGACCGAAACATCTGGCAACACCTCGATCAGCTGTGCTGGTTTTGTAACAGATCAATTCGATTCGTCTGCGAAAATGCTAAGCTTGACGCGCCTACTGAACTCCGCCCTAACGCTGCAGCCGCCGCAGCGGGCCGTCACTGCCGCCCTGGCGCTGCAACAGATGCGCACTAAGACCAAAGTCGTGGAGAAGCCACAGCCCGGAGCTGGCCAGCAGTTCCGCCGGATCGTGCACTTTCCCGAGGAGTACACGGTGGCGCCGCTGAAGATCACACACCTGGCAGGGCGCGACCCTGTCAGCGGGCGCATGGTGGCCAAGGGTATCGGCGGCGGCATCAAGCAACAGTATCGCTGGGTCAAGTGGGTTCGTGACGGACCCGGCGAGGGAGCACCCCAGGAGGAGCTTGTCGTGGAGATACTGCACGACGGTTGCCGGACGGCCAAGGTGGCCCTGGTGGCGGTGGGCGACGAGCTGAAGTACATTCTGGCCACGGAGAACATGAAGGCAGGCGACGTGCTGAAAACTTCCCGCGTGATTCCGCGTATTCCCGGTAAGTAGCTCCGCTTGTGTGTCCATTGAGTGCTAATTTTTTCTCTCCCGCAGTGCGTCCCAATGAGGGCGATGCCTACCCATTGGGCGCCCTGCCCGTAGGCACTCGAATCCACTGCCTCGAGAAGAATCCCGGCCAGCAGTGCCACCTTATCCACGCCGCCGGTACCTTCGGAACCATTCTGCGAAAGTTCGATGACAAGGTTGTGGTTCAGTTGCCCTCCAAGCGGGAGTTCGCCTTCGACCGCATCTGCATGGCCACCGTGGGTCGCCTCTCGAACCCCGAGCACAACAAGGAGCACGTGGGCAGTGCCCAGCGCATGCGCGAGATGGGCAACCGACCACGGTCGGGCCTCTGGAAGCGTAAGGAGGGAAAGCACGGCCGCAAGATACGTCGCCTGCCGCCCATGACCACAATAGCACCGCCGCCATCACCCAAGCAGGAAGCCATACAGTTGACGCTAGATCTTTGAAGCATTTTATGTCTATAGAGTCATGTCCCAGGTCCAGGCCAGTCGGAACATTATACACTTAGAGCTAAGAGTTACAATCTACTTTCGAGTTTTTTTCATGGAGAAACCCGTGCCGTGGAAGCTATTCACATCTTTTATGTCCTCCAAGCCGCCGGACTCATCGGTCCCACGGTCGCTGACTGGTCTAATGCTGCGATCGAACCTGATCTGCCCGAACTTATAATGGTAGTCCGGAACGCCGCGGGGCAGAAACTTCTTGACCACTGGTGTCTCCAGCTGACTCTCCTTCTTTTTCTTGCCATCCAGTCGAACGCCAGGACCCTTGAAAGTCTCCACCACTTCCTCGAGGGCGGCCCCGAGGGCATTGGCATCGCTGGCCCCGGTTCCCTGGGTGCCCTGCTGGCCCGAGCCCGGAATCTGGGTCTCGTGATGCTCTTTGTAGCCGACGGGCGCCTCGAACTCCACGTTCATGTCGCACTCGATGATGCTGACGGCGTTGCCGGGACGGGTCTCCAGAACGCACAGCTCGTAGATCTTTTTGTTGTATTTAATGGCGATGACGTCGCCCTTGGTGAGGCACGCAAAGTTCCGCAGCGCGTTCTCCAGCACGGCCTTGGGATTTGTGATGTCCAGGAAGTCGGTGCTGTTCGGCTGGAACTTGGAGAACGTGGCCACGGGCAGAGAGACGCTCTCGATTATCAGTATATTGCCCTCCTCCAACAGCAAGTTGTGCATCATCCAGTGGGGCAGGTAGCACTTTCCCTCGTCAGCGACGAACTCCAGGACGCCAGCGTGCGAAGAGCGCATCTTCTTGTTGTTGGAAAGCTTGAAGAGCATCGGGTACTCGACGTTTAGGCGAGTGAGCGTGTCCAGGGCGGAGGGCGGCATGATGACTGCAACAGGAGATAGTATAAGAGTGCGATGATACTTGACAAAGCAGGTATGCACTTACTCTTGCCTCCCTTCTCCACGTCGGAGCGCTCGTTGCCCGGGAGCATCGACACCGAGTAGCACTTGTATGTAGCATGGAAGTTTCGTCCCTCTGGGAACATCATGTTGAAGCCGCTGAAGTGGAACATGGCGTCAGTTGTGTGTGCTTTCTTCTACGACTGTGATTATTGATTTTTCCTCTTGGGAAATTGAATTTTGCCTTCTTCAATTCTTAATTGGATCCTTTGTTTCGGGTGCTGTCAATTTTGTGTGTTTGTTTTCTGAAATGTCACGAATCTTTACAAATCTGGCAACGCTGGCTAGGGTGTGCAGCTGACCTGGTAATATCATTTTATCCATAAGTCTAAAGTGAATATACGGAATATTTAATACTTTTCAGTATTTTGTGGGGTACAAATATAATGGTATATTTTTTTTTATCAATTTTATCAATCTATTAATGAACTTATGATAAGAAAATTCCTCACACAGGTTTTTAAAATTTTCGCTCTCTCAAAACGTGCCTTCCTGTCACTCTTTCACTTTCAAACAATTCCATTTTGGCGCGCAGGTCTAGAGATTATTGAGTCGACTGGATCCAAAAGTGTAGTTACCGTTGTTACCATGTGCAAAAAGAGACATTTTTGTTTACCTTTTTCGCTAAAACCTTTTTTAGGCAAAATCCAATAACGTCAAAGTAGTCAAGTAGAAAATAGGTTCATTAATTGGATACAATTATGTGGGCAGGGCTGCGGGTACTATCTAGCTAGTAATATGCCAGGGAATATCAAAATCGAGGAATATGTATAATATAAATTCAATTCGTCAGTATATTTACGGTATATTTTGAAAATGAAATGGTATATTTTGGTATACTTCTGAGGGTCAGACCGTATATTCCATATATAAATCAACTGCACTGACCAGAATTTATTTGCTCGCTGTTTAATAAAAAAAAACATTAAAATAATGGTTAAAGCTGTCTGTGTAATTAATGGCGATGCCAAGGGCACCGTTTTCTTTGAGCAGGAGGTGAGTTTATCTACTAAAGCGTTAAATTTCTGGAAATGTTCTAGAAAAAATGGCAGTCCACGGTAACAACAACAGCAATAAGCGAAGCCATTTTAAAGGTCGAAGTGCCGGTTTCCCCGGTCCCCGCTCTGTGGCTATGGAATTGATGAATATTGCTGTACAGAATTAAGTGCGAGCGCGGTTTTCGCTGTGTCATTTAACAAATGCAAATTATATAAGTCGAATAACAGTGCGCAGCCCAGCGTATCTGTGTGTATGGGGGCCAGTATGTACATGTCACGATTGTACACACACTTTTCGCTTATCGGGAATCCGAGCACTATCATGCCCCTAGAGATAATCAAGTTGTTCAACATTCATTCTTTGTTTTTTACAACAGACCAGCGAGGCTCCCGTGAAAGTCACCGGCGAGGTGCTGGGCCTTGCCAAGGGACTGCACGGATTCCATGTGCACGAGTTCGGGGACAACACCAACGGCTGCATGTCGTCCGGCCCCCACTTTAACCCCCGGAACAAGGAGCACGGTGCCCCCACCGACGAGAACCGCCACTTGGGCGACTTGGGCAACATCCAGGCGGCCGGTGACAGCCCCACGGCCGTCAGCATCACCGACTCGAAGATCACGCTGTTCGGTGCCGACAGCATCATAGGACGCACCGTGGTCGTTCACGCCGACGCTGATGACTTGGGCAAGGGTGGTCACGAGCTAAGCAAGACCACCGGCAATGCCGGCGCCCGTATTGGCTGCGGTGTCATTGGAATTGCCAAAATCTAAGCGGGAGGCAGTCAACGATACTAGAAACTAATACATATATAATATGGTAACGATTACGCAGTAAAATCGGGTTACCTTCCTTCGCACTATATATTGGAAAACGACATATGAAATGATATACTTTGGCCTGTGGTCTGTTAAGTTACTTCTATCCACTACCTTTGAGGTTCAATAAAACGGTGTTTTCAAATTAACCAATAATCAACTAAACGAACATCTTTTGTATTTATTTTTGTTTAGATATATGTACATAGCTCGTACCTTTTCGACTGAGAATCAAATTATTTAATGGGAAGGGAAGTCGAAGGAAACCTGAGACTTTAGACAATGCCATTTGTTTAGGACCAAGGGAGCTAAGTTTTCCTTACGACACGAGGCGTAATAAGATTGATTAAAGAATCTTTATAGAATAGGAGGAATAGAACAGAATGCACAAGTGGGATTTTAGGAAAAGCTTGATTCGCATCCACGAGCATATTAAAATGTTGCGAGCAGCCTCATCCTTTAGAGAAAGATTCCACGAAAGAAAGATTCCAATTACAGCAATTCCCCTACCGTCCAGAGGATAGGAACAAGAATTATCAATATTTTCAGATAGGTCAGAGTGTTTCGGTTCCGCTTGTCAAAAGAGATTCCTATAGGTAATCTCAGCTTCAAGGCGATTTTAATTAACTCAAGCACTCGATGACTAACTCCTGGTTAAAAGTCTTTATTACAAACGTTATAAACAATCGATAAAGTAGTATTATATACAATAAACGGTGCAAACCAAGAAGTATTCAGTGTGGTTTCTCTTGGACTGGACTATAAAACAATATCAACGATACGAATGGACTACGACAAAACATAAAGTGACTAACTATGATTAGCATGCTGGTTGCTGGGTGTAGAGAACACCAGCGAGTATATGCAATTAGATGAAGAAGGCCTTAGGTTTTGTTGAAGTAGGACTGGTAGACAATGCCCAGCGAGGAAGTCGCAAAGAGAGTGAAGTAGCTCCACCAGGTAGCGAAGCCCAGAAATCCCTTGTAGACCTCCGTGGAGAACACCTGGGATATACAGAGAATACATTTCCAAATTGAACAAACTCGCGTCATCTGGGGGATCTTACATTTTTAAGGCTACTGAACGATGCCTGCAGCGACTGCGCCGACTCCATAATGTTGAAGTCTCCCTCTTCAATGGTAGTACCGCCGGATACGGCCGTCTCCACGTCGCCGGCAGCGCACTCGTGCTGCAGCACGACAGCCTCATTGAAGACGCCTGCCCAGCTGAAGCCGCCCAGGCTTTTGTACATCAGCGTCAGGTAGAGGCACAGAATGAGCGGGGCAGCGAATTGCAGGGTCACAACGCAGAGATAGTAGAAAATAGAGGAGATCTGTGGGGAGAGCAGCGGTTAAGCAATTCAGAGTGAAATTTCAGCCCATGCACACCTTCTGTTTGAACTCCACATTGGTGATGCGACCGGCCTCCTTGCGCAGATCCAGTATTTTATCATAGGCCAGGTTCAGGTACGATTGCAGATAGATGGGCATCAGGGCGAAGCGCATGACCACCACAAAGACAACCAGCAACAAACGCAGCGTTTCAAAGGCATGCGGCGTCAGTCTAAAACAAGAAAGAAGCATTGTAGGAGTTGGGGGGTGAAAAGAAAATGATCCGCAAGCTTACAGTGGCTGTTGCATGCCCTGAAAGACGCGCACTGTTAAATAGTCACGGCTAATAGGCCTGATCCACAAAATGACCAAAATAAACGGTAGCACGAAGCTGAGATTCAGCAGGACTTGCATCACGCGATTGCCGCTGCAGTATTTCAGCGAGTCCCAGTGCATCTTGGCCATGCGCAGGCCGGGGAAGGTGAACAGCGAGCCGAGCACACCGCAGCTCAGAGCGAGAAAGAACTTGACCACAATTTTTGAGGCCGGACCACTGGAAATACAAAGGGCTTTAGGCCGCTGACCATGTTAAAGCTTTGCTTCTACTCACGATGAGGGTAGACCCTGCTCGGTGAGAAATTTCGAGGCGCTGGCATTGAAACTGGTGTAGGCGTCCTCTAGTCCTGTCTCCAGAATGCGCTCGTCGATGATCAGCACGATCATAGCGATCAGCAGATAGACCAGACAGGCCACAATAACCATGGATCGCTCGCCAATGGATTCCTCGCTTTGGAAGTACAGCACGGTAAGAGAGGACAGCAGCTTGAGGGCAAAGAAGATGACTAGCAGGCACCAGACCATGCTTAGGTTGATCTCCTGCTTCAGGGGAAAGTAGAAGTGGAAGAGCTGCCCGGGAGAGAGCACGAGCGCAGATAAAATGGGTAAATATCAATATTAGAACATTTCAAACCCACCTCGGAGATCACGTACACAATGCCGGAGTAGATGCTGAAGTCCAGCAGCCATTGGTACTCGGTGAAGTAGCGCAGGTGAACCACGTCCTGCTCTAGCACCGGCAACGTCTCCAGGTCCACCTCAATGCTGCGCGGTATGTGGAACTGCCCGGAGACTCCATTCTGCTGCTTGTGTTTGCCCTTAGCCGGTTTCTCCTTGGGCACACCGCCCTTGGAGCGCAGCTCATCGTCCGTTGGGTGCAGATAGCGATAGAGGCCGGTGCGACAGAGTATCCACTTGGCGAAGGAGTAGTGGGGACTCAGTTTCTGTATCACGCTGACCATCACCAGCGTAATCACCAGTTGGGCGCCCAGCACAGCCTGCAATGGACGGGGAGGACAACGAGTCTAATTAGAAACGTGCGCAGCTATTTTTGGGTTCTCCATTCTATTTTTGGTCAATTATTACGACCAGCACTTCATTTTTCCGGGCAAGCCGGGCAGATTTTCTTTCATCATCACCGCTCTTTTTTCAGCTTACCATCGCTTTCCGTTGTCTTTACGGTGTAAAACTTTCTGAAGTTGTGGATGGTGTTAATTTACAGCGTTAATTAATTCATTATTTTTAATTAAAAACGGAAATCTCGAAAAATGTTCGTCGAAATTTTCTTTTTTGGGTTGGCAGTGTGACCAGATTGGCTAATCCCATAAATAACTATACAACGTATCGAGTTTATGAGTATCGAGCGCGGTCATTTCAAATTAAATTAGGGCTGTTGGAAAAATTAATATTTGAGCTCAATATCTGAATTTTATTTCGAATATCACAATTGATTTCGATACCAATGCAATAGTCGAGGATGTCCGATGAAACTTTTACACGATCGATAACATCGATAGAATCCAGCGTCTTTCAAGACTGCCACCCATTTACAACAACAAGGCTCTATCTAATCAATCTAGCAATCATTCCATCACTCATTCGTTCAATCAGTATATCCAAATTTACGTATTAAAAACATCTGTTACAAATGGCGAAAGAAACCCAAGTAAAGATCTGGGATCTCGGCAAATGGGACTCGCGGGCAATCGGGAAATACAACACCATACCGCGCATACAGAAGGAGCTGCGCCGTGGAAACTGGGCCTACATCTGCCAACATCCAGAGGTGCAGAGCGGTCTGCCGACTTTTCACTTATCCCGAATAACCGATGACTTCCTATATCCAATATCCCTTTTCCCAGATTCGCGCCATCGTTCGGGTCATCCTGCAGCAGGCGATCAATGCGAAATCCCAACCTGAGAACATCCGTAAGTTTGTGGCCGAGTTCTTTAATTGCTGTCGCACTCCGCTGCTGGTGCCAATGGTGGGTTGTCTGCGTCTTAGCCCTAAAGTGGCTCCCGAAAACCCCACTGACCAATGCCACCACAGATAAATACCCAACTGAAATACGTCAAGGAGCAGCTAGCGCTTGGGCGCTGGAGTGCTTTCGATGCGGAGACGCTCTTCATGGAGACCTGCTCCACGCACTCGCTGCTGTCAGCTGCCTCCGAGGACAGCAATGTCCCCCCCATTCTAGCCTACGCGCTCGTCTTCAAGAAGCCCGATGAGTGTGGCATTGAGAAGCCGCCATTCTAGGACTCTAGGACTCTAGGACACTAGGACTCTAGGACTCGGGGCGGCTCTATGTTTACAATTTCTTCACTTGCGGCCAGCATTTATCTATCTATTGCTACAATAATACAGACTTCCAGAGCAATACGATCAGAGCAGCTCTCAATTACATAGAACCAGTGGGTATAATGTATGACCCCTGTATAAGTGTACCAAAATTCGCATTAGTAAACATTTATTGGCTTTCTTCGTGAGTAATTACGAGTATTTATGGGTTTTTTACACCCGGGAGAACCTTCGGCCCAAGCGCACTCTGCGACGCTCATGAACACGTACACGCCTCACGTCCCCACCGCTTCCACCTTCACGCCTAAGTCTCCTGTTCCTCCTGTTCCTCCTGTTATCCCCGCCGCGTCTCTCTCTACGGATAATCACTATACGCCTGCGATGGATGCGGCGATGGTGCTTCTTGGTAGTCGCCTCTTCTGTTGTGGTTGTCGTCGTGGCTTCTGTTGTTGTGGTGGTCGTAGCTGGCGAAGTGTCGGAGGACGAGCTGCTGGCAGGAGTGCCGGAGGGCGAGCTGCTGGTAGGCGTGCCGGCGGGCGAGGTGCTGGTAGGCGTGCCGGCGGGTGAGGTGCTGGTAGGCGTGCCGGCGGGCGAGGTGCTGGTAGGCGTGCCGGCGGGCGAGGTGCTGGTAGGAGTGCCGGAGGACGAGCCGGTGGCAGGCGGTGTTAACTGGAAAGACAGCACCATGAGTGCGGCCAGGATGGCTAGAAAGAGCGCTCTAATTGGACGCATCGTGACTTTTCTTTGTACTAACTATTAGCTGACTGTATCTTCCAGTCGATAAAGTATGGTTTTTTATAGGTCGCCCATTTGTAGGCACTCGTTCAAATCTCAATTTCCATTGTTCTCGGCGATTTTTAAATCAAACGATTATGGCAATAATTCAATGGAAAGTTTTAGATAACTGGAGACCACTCTCGCTTCTGTGTACATATTTGCATATACCCACATACTCGTATGTACATGCATATGCCCATATGTCTGAAGCGTGACAATATTCTATTTATAAAAAAAAGTATCAGTATTCACTGATAACATTCTATAGGGCTAATTTGGGTACCTTAGGAGCTGAATGTACGAGTACAGTGGCGAGAAAACACTCTGGCTAACGCTGTCTGGGCCAACAGAAGAAATCGTGTCAATATTTGGAGTCCCGAAAACAGAATTTCTAAATAAACATGGCTCGATAAAAAGTACGAGCTTGATCCGAGAACATTGGGCTTTTCTGAAGTAGTTTTTTATATTACAAGCACTTCAGCTTTCTACTCTGATGGTGACAGTCTTTAAACTGCGGCTTAAAGCTATAGCTTATAGGCTTTGATCATTAATGAGGGTCCTTCTTTGACAATCTTGGCTTTCTACGAGTATGTGGACCATGTTAATTGTAGAGCTTCGATAAGTGGCACTGCAGCAGTTAGGAATAGGAACCGGAACCACAGTAACCACTCATCATTCGGAGAATCATAGACCATAGACACCTGTAGACGATATGACGAGTAAACACTTCCATCAAATGTGACAGCCCACGGATAGCCCATCATCAAGTGCAGCAGCTGATTTGCATCCGTTTGGGAGGAATATGAAGTATCTTTAGTGATCCTTGGCTGTTCCACGATCATTTCACTGTGCCGGCTAGATGTATCCAATGCCCATCTCTGGATGTACTACTACTTTTACTACTTTTTGTATTAGCATTGGATCCTTTCAGAGCTAAAGAGCAAGAAACTGGTACTGGAAACTGGAAGGTGGTAACTTTCCTGCTTTACAGATGTACAATCAAAATACTTGAAAAATGCAGATTTTATTATATGTATATTGGAGATAATGGCCATAGGGTCATAGGGTCATAGGGGATCGGATTAGATTCGGCGGACCGTCCTGCGGACACGGACCACCTCACGACGCCGGTGGACGCCATTGGTTGAGCCTTCCGTCGCCCTTCGACGGACTCCGCCACGGCGGACTATGATCCGTTTGATAATGACACGGCGGCGGCGGTGCTTCTTGGTGGTGGCTGCGGTTGTGGTCGTGGCCGAGGCATCTGTTGTGGTTGTGGCTGAGGCATCTGTGGTGGTGGTTGCCGAAGCAGAGGTGGTTGTGGTGGCCGCCGCTGCTGTTGTTGTTGTTGTTGCCGATGCGGATGCCGTTGTTGTTGTGGACCCGGTGGCCGAGACCTGGCTGCACAGGACGAGCATGGCCAGGAAGACCAGAGAAAGAGCGATAACGGAGCGCATTGTAAGTGTGTGGACTCGTTTGGACCGCTTGGAACTGTTGGTGGCAGTGGCTCCAGAATGGATATTTATAGCATCCAGCATCCACTCCACTCATCCACAGATGTGTCTCCAAGAACTCCCCTCCATTCCGTTCATTCCCTTTCACAAGATCACTTTACGATTACAGTACCTATTGTGGTATTGTTTTTTCAGTTTGTTCTTGATCGACGTAAGTGAAATTTTGGGGAAAACCAATTAACATGGCACGAGACAGGGGACCACTCCAGGTGGGGTTTAATTGGCATACTTTTTGGGTAGCTCTAGCTATTCTTCTCTTATACCATACGTTCCCCTTCCAATATCTTCCCATTCGAAGCATGCAGAACGATAAAATAGCAGAATAAAGTGGGGAAATGCTGCAGCTAAGAAAGTCCGAACAGCACCCAAAAAGTATGCTAAGGCATCAGATCCGCAAGCCAAGCTCCGTCTCACGCAATGATTTCGATTATCTCGATCAGAACGTTACTGCAGGAGATGTGTATATACTGTGGGAAATCAGCTTACCAGCTTAAAAAACTCCTATCCTATAGACGGAGGGGAGCATTCTTCATGGGGAGACAAAAATTACTACTGGTACTTGATCTGTGGAAATCCGCTAAAGAGTGCTTGTAACGGAAGTACCAGAAATGACAGAAATGCCAGAACTTTGGAAACGGCAAATTTATTCTGGTTTAGTGGTTTCCAGAACACGATTCAATTGCTCTTTCGTTCTTTATTTTCAACTTATTCATATACCAGTTCTGGTATCTGTTTTTGTGAGATAGCTCTGCGGACGCCGCACGGCTTTGTCAATACACGTGTTCTTAGCGGTTAAACAATGAATTAGAAAATAGGAGTTTTTGTGCTTTTATGATCCGATGATGATGTGAAGGTTGGCATCCCATTACGGAAGCAGCCTCCACTACGGAGACGGCAACCGAGACCACGGAAGCAGTAACCACGACCGTGGCAGCCTCGACCACATCTGCATCGGCCTCTGCATCTACCAGACGGCCCCACCGTCACCATGATGGTGGCTGTGGAGGAGGTGGCAGAGGTCGCGACGTGGGCGTGATGATGGCGAAAGGGGAGGTGGACGCAGGGGCGGCGGCGGACGAGGAGAGGACCGGCAGCGTGGTGGGCGCGGTGGCGGACGCTCCAATGGAGGCAATGCCCGCTCTCGTGGTAGCGGTGGTCGCTCCAATGGACGCTCCAGCAGTCGTGGATCTAACGCAAGGCGTAGCCAGAGATCCAATCGCGGTTAAGTGATCCGAAAACATGTCCAGCAGTATTCCCTGCTTTCACCATGAGCTCAGTGAAAGACAATTGCACTACGGATTTTTTTATTTGATTCACATTATTTTATGAGGGTTAAGCCATGAAGAGGGGATTAAGAAGGGATTGCCTTAGATGCCCATTGAGTGGCACGACATGCCACGACCAGATCGACCGCCCAATAGTCGAAATATTGTGTATGATTTATGTAACCTATACAATATGTTGTTTGGGGAATTATACGAGCCGATGACTGACGAATGCTCTGTCTCTCTCTGTCTTATGTATCGCTTCTCGTGAAGGGACGAATTGATTTGTTGGTTAATGTGGCGATATTTTTGCTTGAAATTATCGGGAGAGATGGAAAAAAACATAGAGATAAATAGAGGAACCACGACCGCTAAGAACATCTGTTCTAATGTTAATTGTTTATCCCCCTTCCATTCGAGTTTTATAAGCTTCCATTTATTTGCTACATCTATCTCTCTCTCTCTCTCTCTCTCTCCGACACCAGCTGTGTTGCTGTCTCGCTTCTCTCTGACGGGGGGCGCGCACTGCACGATAATGAGAGTGAGGGAGGGAGAGACAGAGACAGAGTCAGAGAGAGAGAGAGAGAGAGAGAGAGAGAGAGAATTAGTGAGCGTGGAATAATGTTCCGATCTGATCCAGATTCGGCAATCTGTTAGATATGGTCATATCTTCAACGTTTTGGATGCCAGAGATTTTCTCCCTTTATTGGTCGGAGGGGACGTGGCAATCACAGAAATTTGGCTTCTGTAGCTCGTATATTCTAGGCGTTAAACATGACGGGGGGAGAGACAGAAATGGCTATTCGACTCGGCTATTGGGGTTGATCAAGCATATACGATCCGTTCTTATTCCGGATTGGCAAACAGAGACAGAGGAAGACTTTATTTCCAAACGGCTCCGAGCCAAGACATACTGTTTAGAGTCCATACGGCAGGAAACCCAATAGTCAGCCAACTCATATCTCCCATTCGTTACAATATAGTTACAAATAGGGAAAATAGGGCCTGATCAGCGAACGACCTACTTTCCCAGGGCCTTGGAAGTCCAGACTGCTGATCGATATAAAAACAAATACCTAAAAATCGTATCAAGTATCATGAGTATTTTTCGAGCGCGGGTAGCTCATATTTGATTGGGGTTGTTCGAAAAACTTATCTTTGAACTCGATTTCTAAATAGAGAATGATATTTCGAATATATTCCATTTCGATACCAATGCAATCGTCGAGGATGTCCGATGACACTTTTACACGATCGATAACATCGATAGAATCCAGCGTCTTTCAAGACTGCCACCCATTTACAACAACAAGGCTCTATCTAATCAATCTAGCAATCATTCCATCACTCATTCGTTCAATCAGTATATCCAAATTTACGTATTAAAAACATCTGTTACAAATGGCGAAAGAAACCCAAGTAAAGATCTGGGATCTCGGCAAATGGGACTCGCGGGCAATCGGGAAATACAACACCATACCGCGCATACAGAAGGAGCTGCGCCGTGGAAACTGGGCCTACATCTGCCAACATCCAGAGGTGCAGAGCGGTCTGCCGACTTTTCACTTATCCCGAATAACCGATGACTTCCTATATCCAATATCCCTTTTCCCAGATTCGCGCCATCGTTCGGGTCATCCTGCAGCAGGCGATCAATGCGAAATCCCAACCTGAGAACATCCGTAAGTTTGTGGCCGAGTTCTTTAATTGCTGTCGCACTCCGCTGCTGGTGCCAATGGTGGGTTGTCTGCGTCTTAGCCCTAAAGTGGCTCCCGAAAACCCCACTGACCAATGCCACCACAGATAAATACCCAACTGAAATACGTCAAGGAGCAGCTAGCGCTTGGGCGCTGGAGTGCTTTCGATGCGGAGACGCTCTTCATGGAGACCTGCTCCACGCACTCGCTGCTGTCAGCTGCCTCCGAGGACAGCAATGTCCCCCCCATTCTAGCCTACGCGCTCGTCTTCAAGAAGCCCGATGAGTGTGGCATTGAGAAGCCGCCATTCTAGGACTCTAGGACTCTAGGACACTAGGACACTAGGACTCGGGGCGGCTCTATGTTTACAATTTCTTCATTTGCGGCCAGCATTTATCTATCTATTGCTACAATAATACAGACTTCCAGAGCAATACGATCAGAGCAGCTCTCAATTACATAGAACCAGTGGGTATAATGTATGACCCCTGTATAAGTGTACCAAAATTCGCATTAGTAAACATTTATTGGCTTTCTTCGTGAGTAATTACGAGTATTTATGGGTTTTTTACACCCGGGAGAACCTTCGGCCCAAGCGCACTCTGCGACGCTCATGAACACGTACACGCCTCACGTCCCCACCGCTTCCACCTTCACGCCTAAGTCTCCTGTTCCTCCTGTTCCTCCTGTTATCCCCGCCGCGTCTCTCTCTACGGATAATCACTATACGCCTGCGATGGATGCGGCGATGGTGCTTCTTGGTAGTCGCCTCTTCTGTTGTGGTTGTCGTCGTGGCTTCTGTTGTTGTGGTGGTCGTAGCTGGCGAAGTGTCGGAGGACGAGCTGCTGGCAGGAGTGCCGGAGGGCGAGCTGCTGGTAGGCGTGCCGGCGGGCGAGGTGCTGGTAGGCGTGCCGGCGGGTGAGGTGCTGGTAGGCGTGCCGGCGGGCGAGGTGCTGGTAGGCGTGCCGGCGGGCGAGGTGCTGGTAGGAGTGCCGGAGGACGAGCCGGTGGCAGGCGGTGTTAACTGGAAAGACAGCACCATGAGTGCGGCCAGGATGGCTAGAAAGAGCGCTCTAATTGGACGCATCGTGACTTTTCTTTGTACTAACTATTAGCTGACTGTATCTTCCAGTCGATAAAGTATGGTTTTTTATAGGTCGCCCATTTGTAGGCACTCGTTCAAATCTCAATTTCCATTGTTCTCGGCGATTTTTAAATCAAACGATTATGGCAATAATTCAATGGAAAGTTTTAGATAACTGGAGACCACTCTCGCTTCTGTGTACATATTTGCATATACCCACATACTCGTATGTACATGCATATGCCCATATGTCTGAAGCGTGACAATATTCTATTTATAAAAAAAAGTATCAGTATTCACTGATAACATTCTATAGGGCTAATTTGGGTACCTTAGGAGCTGAATGTACGAGTACAGTGGCGAGAAAACACTCTGGCTAACGCTGTCTGGGCCAACAGAAGAAATCGTGTCAATATTTGGAGTCCCGAAAACAGAATTTCTAAATAAACATGGCTCGATAAAAAGTACGAGCTTGATCCGAGAACATTGGGCTTTTCTGAAGTAGTTTTTTATATTACAAGCACTTCAGCTTTCTACTCTGATGGTGACAGTCTTTAAACTGCGGCTTAAAGCTATAGCTTATAGGCTTTGATCATTAATGAGGGTCCTTCTTTGACAATCTTGGCTTTCTACGAGTATGTGGACCATGTTAATTGTAGAGCTTCGATAAGTGGCACTGCAGCAGTTAGGAATAGGAACCGGAACCACAGTAACCACTCATCATTCGGAGAATCATAGACCATAGACACCTGTAGACGATATGACGAGTAAACACTTCCATCAAATGTGACAGCCCACGGATAGCCCATCATCAAGTGCAGCAGCTGATTTGCATCCGTTTGGGAGGAATATGAAGTATCTTTAGTGATCCTTGGCTGTTCCACGATCATTTCACTGTGCCGGCTAGATGTATCCAATGCCCATCTCTGGATGTACTACTACTTTTACTACTTTTTGTATTAGCATTGGATCCTTTCAGAGCTAAAGAGCAAGAAACTGGTACTGGAAACTGGAAGGTGGTAACTTTCCTGCTTTACAGATGTACAATCAAAATACTTGAAAAATGCAGATTTTATTATATGTATATTGGAGATAATGGCCATAGGGTCATAGGGTCATAGGGGATCGGATTAGATTCGGCGGACCGTCCTGCGGACACGGACCACCTCACGACGCCGGTGGACGCCATTGGTTGAGCCTTCCGTCGCCCTTCGACGGACTCCGCCACGGCGGACTATGATCCGTTTGATAATGACACGGCGGCGGCGGTGCTTCTTGGTGGTGGCTGCGGTTGTGGTCGTGGCCGAGGCATCTGTTGTGGTTGTGGCTGAGGCATCTGTGGTGGTGGTTGCCGAAGCAGAGGTGGTTGTGGTGGCCGCCGCTGCTGTTGTTGTTGTTGTTGCCGATGCGGATGCCGTTGTTGTTGTGGACCCGGTGGCCGAGACCTGGCTGCACAGGACGAGCATGGCCAGGAAGACCAGAGAAAGAGCGATAACGGAGCGCATTGTAAGTGTGTGGACTCGTTTGGACCGCTTGGAACTGTTGGTGGCAGTGGCTCCAGAATGGATATTTATAGCATCCAGCATCCACTCCACTCATCCACAGATGTGTCTCCAAGAACTCCCCTCCATTCCGTTCATTCCCTTTCACAAGATCACTTTACGATTACAGTACCTATTGTGGTATTGTTTTTTCAGTTTGTTCTTGATCGACGTAAGTGAAATTTTGGGGAAAACCAATTAACATGGCACGAGACAGGGGACCACTCCAGGTGGGGTTTAATTGGCATACTTTTTGGGTAGCTCTAGCTATTCTTCTCTTATACCATACGTTCCCCTTCCAATATCTTCCCATTCGAAGCATGCAGAACGATAAAATAGCAGAATAAAGTGGGGAAATGCTGCAGCTAAGAAAGTCCGAACAGCACCCAAAAAGTATGCTAAGGCATCAGATCCACAAGCCAAGCTCCGTCTCACGCAATGATTTCGATTATCTCGATCAGAACGTTACTGCAGGAGATGTGTATATACTGTGGGAAATCAGCTTACCAGCTTAAAAAACTCCTATCCTATAGACGGAGGGGAGCATTCTTCATGGGGAGACAAAAATTACTACTGGTACTTGATCTGTGGAAATCCGCTAAAGAGTGCTTGTAACGGAAGTACCAGAAATGACAGAAATGCCAGAACTTTGGAAACGGCAAATTTATTCTGGTTTAGTGGTTTCCAGAACACGATTCAATTGCTCTTTCGTTCTTTATTTTCAACTTATTCATATACCAGTTCTGGTATCTGTTTTTGTGAGATAGCTCTGCGGACGCCGCACGGCTTTGTCAATACACGTGTTCTTAGCGGTTAAACAATGAATTAGAAAATAGGAGTTTTTGTGCTTTTATGATCCGATGATGATGTGAAGGTTGGCATCCCATTACACATGTGGATGTTTAGACTATAAAACAATTACAGTGAAAGTTTACTTTCCATGGTTCAATTTGAGTATTGAATATTGATAGACAAAATATTCATTTACAACCTACACCAGATATCACCATCCAATGTTGTGAGTGTTTTGCTCACTGTTCGAGTTTTTCTTGCAGTGTAAGCACACTTAATAATATGGCATCTTTCATGTGAAGAACTGACGCACTTCGCGGCTTCCCAAAGTAGTCGAAAAAAACAAAAAGAAAAAGCAGGCGAAAAAGACAATTAAATGGCTAACATCTATGTATACATAAGGGGCTCGGAAAGCCCCAGAAGAGCGGTAGAGCACATATTCTGCTCGAAGACAATCTCGCTATGTATCTCCGATTGGATATACGAAGTCTGGTATAAATAGCAAGGTGTGATTGACGATTGGGACACGAACCTGAACAGAAGCCTGAGCAGAAACAAGAGTCACGATGCGATACCTTTTTGTGCTTTCCCTGGCCATCCTGGCCGCTCTCGTTCCCCTGGCCACAGCGGCATCCTCCACATCGAGCACCAGCAGCTCCGGAAGCACCAGCAGCACGGAAGCAGCCTCCACTACGGAGACGGCAACCGAGACCACGACCGTGGCAGCCTCGACCACATCTGCATCGGCCTCGACCACATCTGCATCGGCCTCGACCACATCTGCATCGGCCTCTGCATCTACCAGACGGCCCCACCGTCGCCATGATGGTGGCTGTGGAGGAGGCGGAAGAGGTCGCGACGAGGGCGGTCGCGGAAGGGGCAGGAGAGGACGTGATGACGGCGAAAGGGGAGGTGGACGCAGGGGCGGCGGCGGACGAGGAGAGGACCGGCAGCGTGGTGGGCGCGGTGGCGGACGCTCCAATGGAGGCAATGCCCGCTCTCGTGGTAGCGGTGGTCGCTCCAATGGACGCTCCAGCAGTCGTGGATCTAACGCAAGGCGTAGCCAGAGATCCAATCGCGGTTAAGTGATCCGAAAACATGTCCAGCAGTATTCCCTGCTCTTACCATGAACTCAGTAAAAGACAATTGCATTACGAATTTTTGATTTGATTTACATGGCTGAAGAATTTAGGTCAATAGCCGGTACAGAAAAATCAGTTCTTCAATTATTGGCAGAGCGAAAAATTTGGCGGCTATATGTTGGGCTAATAGGGCAAGAATGACGAAGGGCCAAATTGACGAAATCCTAAGTATTAGACTCCTTTTTTAAAATCTTGCGGGATCCAGACTGTCGATCGACATAAAAATCTCCAGTACAAAAATAAGCAAATTTTTTGCCATATATAAAGATTTTTTGCGAAAATCGTGAAATACTGAACGTCCTTATTTATGATACCAATCGTTTGGCTGGTCTCCTGATCAAGAAATGACATTTCACCTCGGACAAATAGGACTAGATCAACGAAAGACCAACTCTCCCAGAATCTGGGGGATACACACTACGCTGACGAATACGAAGCCCACAAATGATTCAGGTAATATTCTTTATTGGGCAAATGGGATTAAAGTTGTTCAGCTTTCAGCATTCAGCCCGAAGTGTTCCTTCTGCGAGTCACAATCACGTAGGTCCTGATGCACCTGCTCGGGTTCTTGCACTTCGTGACGGATGACTGCGTTGTAGTCGTGGCTGAGGCTACCAACTGCAGGGCCAGAGCGAACAAGGTGACGAGGAAAAGGAGCTTCATTTCGGGAACTGCTGGGTAGAGCTCTAGTCGACTGAATATGAAAGAGTTTTGTGATTAGTTGATGTGGCATCCGCCGTTTTTATACTATTACCGATTTATATTCGCACCAGCTGCGAGAGGCCGACAAAATGTAAGCCAAATATTTGTCCAGCTTACATAAGCTCTAAGTGTTCAGTCAGTGGATCCAAATATGGGCCGAAGAGATGTTTTTCCCAAGAGTCGTCGACAGCCCACCTGTATAATTCATGTTTTCTGTCAGTTACCTCCGTTTCCTACTCCATGTACCCAAGTGCTTAATCTGGTTACAGTTCGGTTCAAATTATCCAATTGTTTAAACATATCACATTGGCGAATGGCAAATATTTGGATATTTGCCTCGTATTGATTCCTTCCTTTTACATACTTCTTTCCAGGTGAGGAAACATAAGAAGTATGTACAGTACCCGCGATAAGAGGAACAAACCGAAGCAGGAACTCAACGGATCCCTATAAATAATCCGAGTCGGCCTCCCACCAACCACAAAACTCGGTCAACTCTCGACAGCTCCAGACATTCACTGCCAGCTCAAAACTAAGGCCAAAATGAAGTTCCTTTTCGTAGTCGTTCTCATTGCTCTGGCCATCCAGTTGACAGTAGCACAGAGCTCCACTGCCACAACGGAAGCCGCAACGACCACAACGACAGCTGCGTCCACAGATACGACCACGACGACAGCGGCATCAGTGACCAGTGCTACGACCAAGAAAACAAATAAGCTTTGCTGGAGGGGAAACAACTGGTGCAACACCCGCCAGCAGGTCAAGTGCAAGAACCCCAAGAATTGCATCAAGACCATCGTGGTGGTGCGTCGCCATAGAGGCTAGAAGAAGTCAATTTTGTACAAATTAACAACCAATAAATATCACGATTGTTCCGAAAGCATACAATTTATGTGACTTTACTTTTGAGGACTTTCACGAGAACGGGGTTTTTTTATAGGAAAATAGGGGGCACTTCTACATCTTTAGCAATGACGGACTCCTAGAGCGCCTGGAGGTGTCATGGCAGGAAAGCATTTCTAAATCACTCTCCTCCGACTCGGGTTCCTGTTGCTGCGTTAATAAGAGAAAGGGTATAAGCAATGATTCGGTTTTGCAAGCCAAGAACTTACATTTCGGACGGGGTCATGTCTATTCAGGTCCACCTGAGCCAGCCCGGGTTCGATCCTCCTCTTCATCACGACGACTTTTCTGCTTCGTTTTCTGAAGACAAAGTTTTCGATATGGCCTATGAAGAAGGCGGGGCTGTTTTAAGATAGCTCCAATGTGGGATTGCAGATTTCATCGGATATGTCTGCCAGTAGAACGGAATCATTCAGCACACATTCGCCATCCTTCACGATTTTTAAAATATTTAAAATATATTAAAATATTCGCCGGATTTGGCACCGGGTGACGGTTTCTGGTTCCAAACCTGAAGAAATGACTTCATGATTCCGACGATTAAGCCGTGTCACAGACACAAAGGCTTTTTCGAGGACCTCGACATACCCTTCTCTAAGGGATACAAAATTTGGAGAAACGTTGGACAAAGTATATAGAGCTAAAAGGAGACTATTTTGAACAATAAAATGATTGTTTATCCAAATAACTGTGTTTCATTCACAAAGTCACGGACTTATTGAACAGCCCTCGTATATCTTGTAGCGGACAACGATCGAGCTGAAACAGTATCAACAAATTTCTCCACTTGCTGCCCATCCTTACTATTCATAACGAATAATTCACTTTACAATTAATGTGTTATTTATTGATCTTTTCGAATTCGATCTGCACTCAGACTCAGCCCCTATGGCGACGCACCACCACGATGGTCTTGATGCAATTCTTGGGGTTCTTGCACTTGACCTGCTGGCGGGTGTTGCACCAGTTGTTTCCCCTCCAGCAAAGCTTATTTGTTTTGTTGGTCGTAGCACTGGTCACTGATGCCGCTGTCGTCGTGGTCGTATCTGTGGACGCAGCTGTCGTTGTGGTCGTTGCGGCTTCCGTTGTGGCAGTGGAGCTCTGTGCTACTGTCAACTGGATGGCCAGAGCAATGAGAACGACTACGAAAAGGAACTTCATTTTGGCCTTAGTTTTGAGCTGGCGGTGAATGTCTGGAGCTGTCGAGAGTTGACCGAGTTTTGTGATTGGTGGGCGGCCGACTCGGATTATTTATAGCGATCCGTTAGGGTCCTGCTTCAGTTTGTTCCTCTTATCGCGGGTACTGTACATACTTGTACAATGTACATTGTCCACATGGAAAAGCAGAAGTTAATGGAATGTGATGTATATCAATACGGAGCAAAATATCCAAATATTTGACATTTGCTAAAGTACGCCCTAAGATACAATGTTTGAACAATTGGATAATTTGAGCAAAATTGTAACCAGGTTAACCATACTGGCAGAATATATGAGTTTTTAATACGACTACTCGTAAGTTACCTCTCGTCACTTTTGGGAAAACTTGTTTCTTGGGATCGAATCTGAATTTACTGATTGAATGTTTAGAGCTTTCATAATTGGACAAATATTTTCCATTGCCAGTCAATCAGTTAAATGTATTGAGTTACATTTTGTCAGTTTACCGCATCTGGGGCAGACATGATCAAGATCTAAACAGTGTAAGCAATAAATGTATCGAGAGGGAGGAATACGGAACTAATAAAAACGCGGAGTCTAACGACAATAATATTAAATAGACACCGAAGGAACTGAGTGATCTGAAATTAATACATTTTGAATTTTAATATTGATTGCAAAATAACGAGATTTAATAATAATATAGTACTACTACTTGCGTTCGTACTGCATCTAGACGTTGTGGAATTCAGATTCATCGTTGTGATTCTCTCGCCAATTGTATTCTGATAGCTCTAAATGCGTTAAGGTTGTTTTTGTGGCCATTATCTTTTATTATACTAGTTCTACCGTGCAGCATACATATAATCACTTGTAAAGTTTTCTTTTGTGGTTTGACCCAAACATTTATTTATTTGTCTGCTATAAAAACTCATATTATATATATAGTAATATGTCCAAAAAATGGATTAAAAAAATGTTGCATAATGCAGAGGGACAGGAGAAGAATGAAGAGTATAAAAAAGAAAGATTTACTAGTACAATGGAAAGACAATGTGGCAGCCGCTTCGACAATCGATTGTTATTTTTTTCTTGCCCCATTATCATAGTGAGATATTGTTTTGTGTGTTGCTATTTCAGTCCGATCAGTGGTCTCAGAATCAACCAAAAATTTAATTAAATTTCTATACGTTTTCTATGCCAAATGCGCCAACCAAGGAATGTTTAGTGTTGCTGCTGTGGTATTGGTTGATTTTGTTTATGCTCTTTCTGTTGCTGCTGTACCGGAAGCTGCTGATTCTGTACAGGTGGCGGGCTTTGATTATTCAATTGCTGAGCTTGGGGCTGTTGTTGTTGCACGGGCTGTTGCTGCTGCTGTTGCTGTTGTTGTGGTGCCGATTGCTGGTTTCCGGACTGCTGTTGTTGATAGATAGGTTGTTGTTGCTGCTGCTGCACTGGCTGCTGCTGTTGCTGAACAGGTTGTTGCTGCTGATATTGCACGGGCTGCTGCTGTTGCTGCACGGGCTGTTGCTGTTGCTGCACGGGCTGCTGCTGTTGCTGCACGGGCTGCTGCTGTTGCTGCTGTTGCTGCACGGGCTGCTGCTGTTGCTGCACGGGCTGTTGCTGTTGCTGCACGGGCTGCTGCTGTTGCTGCACGGGCTGCTGTTGTTGTTGATATTGAACAGGCTGTGGCTGCTGATAGACAGGCTGCTGTTGTGGGATCTGTCCGGCATGCTGATAGACCTGATTGGGGTGCAATTGGACAGGTTGTCCATTCCCGTATTGCTGCTGTTGGTACTGCTGCGCGTATTGCTGCTGCTGCTGGGCATATTGTTGCTGCTGTTGCGCGTGCTGTTGATCTTGCTGCTGGTAGTGTAGTTGTCCATTTGGCGGGTGGTAGGCCACACCGCCGGGTGGCGGCGCTGAATAGTAGCCTTGAGGCATATTTGGATGAGGCGGCAGTTGTCCCTGGGCAATCATTCGTTGCACTTCCTCCTGACGGCGGCGCTCATACTCCAGATACTCCTCGTGAGTGTATTGCGGCTGTTGGTCGATGGTCTCCCATTCGGGATCTTTCTGGAACTCGTCCTTCGATGTTTGCATCATGAACTCCTCGATGCTGATCAAGCCATCGTGATTGGTGTCGGTCTCCTGGAAATAATGCTCACGCATTCGCTCCATTTCCTCAGCCCTTTCGCGCATATCGTCCTCGGGGAGATCACTTTGGTAGACCTTGTCCAGCTCCTTGACAAACAGGGCCTTCACTTCAGCCTCATCCCAGTAGCCGTTGCTGTCCACGTCGTGGATGGAGAAGAAGGTCTTGGGTTCAAAGTCATTCTTGTCCATGTGGTCCTGCTTTTCCCAGACCTCTTCCAGTTGAGCCTTGTTGCCAGGATGATGCAGTTTTCCATGATCCTTGTGCTTCTCCTCCTTTTGTTTGAGATCCTCTTCGAACTTCTTACGTGACGCCTCATCCATTTCCTTCTTCTGAGCCTCGCGCTCGAACTCCTTTTGCATTTCGTACTCCTTGAAATCCCCACGACGCTTGCGATCCGCCTCGGCCAAATCATCCGAGGTTTTCTGAATTAACTTTTTCAAATCTTCTATCTCGAAAGTGTGCTCATTGTCGTGATCCAAATGCAGAGGCACCTTCAGATGTTTTCGATCGATGTCGTTACTCAGCTCGTAGGCCTGATTTGCCAGTTCACGCAAACGCTCCAACTCTCGTCGCTTTATTTCGTCAAGCTTGGTTCTTACATGATGATTCACATAGTCCAGCTCTTGAGCGATTTTGCCACTCTACAAAACAGAAGACCTTGGTTATCGCAAACATATGGGAAATCCCCAACACCCAACACTCTTACACGTATGTCTGCCTCCGGGGCTTTGTCCAATTTCTGGCGGAACTCGGGATCAGCTTCTAGAGCCTCGACCACTTCTCTTAGATAGCGCTCATACTCCAGAGCCGTCTCCACGTCAGCTGTGGCGGGGGTACTGCTGGATTCAGCCTCCTTGGGGTCCGTCTTTTTGTTTTGCGTCACGGGTAAAGCTGTCACCGCCGAAATCGCGATGGAAACAACCAAAGCCAAGCCCAGCAAGGACAGATTGTGTGCTTGCTTGCACTTCATGGCTGCAACTGTTGTCTCTAAGCGCGTGCCTGAGGGTTTCTTTTGTTCTGATTCGGCAACTGTGCAAATAATTGAATAAAATTAAATATTCTGACGTGTCGAACGTAAAATGAAATACAAAAGAGTCGATAGCAAACTTATCGATATTCTCGGTCTTTCCCAACACTCTTCAATCAGCTGTCAGCACACGCAAGAATTTAGCACGGTTTTTGAATTTATATTTTGTAAAAAATTTGTAATATCGGAGCAGAAATTATTTTATTTTACTGTTTTCAGCTTAAACATACTTTTACGACTACTATTGCTGACTATCTAGGCTTTCAAATCTTTTTTAATTTTTTTCAACTTTTTCAGTTTTGGCTCAACAGCTTTTTTCGTGAGCTTGTTCAGACCACTTTCAGTTTTTTGTGTCGTTTTGGTAGCGTTTTCCCTGCCTGCGCGCTTTTTGAGAATATTTTCCGTTTTCTGAATCTTCTGCAGTTTTGCGGATTTCTGGGTTGCCTCAATACTAGCCTCTGGTCGTATTTTTGTGGAAATGTCCTCGCGCTCCAGTGGCTTCTTGGCTCGTATTCTGGCCTCCGATTTGCGAACTTTCTTCATTTGTAGCATGTATTCCGGAACAGTACCGCCGGAGTTCTTAATGATCAAGGCAATGCTAAGAAAAAGACAAAAGTTATATAATAGTACGACTTTTATCATCTGCGTTCGAGTTACCTTCTCAAATTTGCCGTATCATCCTGCGTGAAGAAGGTAATGGCACGGCCTGGACGACCCGCGCGACCCGTGCGCCCAATGCGATGAATGTAAGAGATGGTCGTGGGTGGGAAATCATAATTAATGACAAGATTAACGCCTTTGAAGTCAATACCGCGCCCCATAAGCTCCGTGCAAATCAGGACCCAAATGTTTCCCTCGCGGAAGGCACGCACGCAGTTATCACGTTGATGCTGGGAACGCTCGGCGTGAATCACGTCCACGTTGATGCCGTCGTAGAGCAGCTCTTCAAACAACTGCTTTGCACGGTCTTTGCTTTGGACAAAGACAAGAACAGGCGGCTGAAGGCCTTGGCGCACCAGGTTTCTCATGGCCACCAGCTTGCCACTCTCGGATCCAACGAACAGCAGTTCCTGTTGGACTGTATCCGTGGCGCTGTTCTGCACACCAATTGTGATCCGTACAAGGTTCTTGAGATGCCGCAACGCCCACTTGGCCACAGGGACCGTGTATGTGGCACTGAAAAAGGCCACGCACTTCTGCGGATGCGAACAGGCGGCGTAGATGTCATCCAGCTGTTCCTTAAAGTTGTTTTGTCCCTCCTCCATCAGTCGATCCGCCTCGTCCAGTACAAACCACTCGACACCCTTAAGATCGAGCAGAGGAGGTTGTTGTTGCAGCAAGAACCTCACTCGATTCGGGGTGGAGATGAGAATATCATACTTCTGCTTGCACTCCGCTCCATGCTTTTGCTTAGCTTCGCTTACTTTGCTGATGAAATGAGTGCGCAGACCTGTCTCCCTCGTCAGCTCTGAACACTCGCGATAGATTTGCTGCGCCAGCTCTCGCGTTGGGGCCAAGACTAAGGCCCTCAGCCCGGTCGTTTTATGGGAGCGGAGGCCATTGATAATCGGTGTGAGAAAGGCCAATGTCTTTCCGGAACCAGTGGGCGCACAGGCCATCAGAGCCCGCTTCTGGAACAGCACCGGTAATGCTTGCATTTGGATAGGTGTGGGCTGGGAGAAGCCGTACGAGAGAACGTTCTGTTGTAGGCGTGGCAGTAGCTTGTAATCCCTAATCAGGTCATCGAAGCTTAACACGGGCGCCGGAATGTTCTTGCCCAGCGCTGTTATGCTGTGTTGCTTCCTCGATGCATTTGCCTGCTCCGTGATCTTTTGCAGTTCCTGCTGTTCTGCTGAGAGTTTCTTCTCATCCTTGGCCTTTTTGCGCTTGGGCGCAGCTGCAAGAGCGCCGGCTGCATCTCCCAGTAGTCGAAATTCTGTGTTTTCTGTTTCCTCGTCTGCTTTCTTAACTTGTTGCGGCTGCTCCGGCTGCGGCTCCAGCTCTGTCTGAGAGCTGACAACAGTTTTGCTCGGTTTGATGGGGTTCTGCAAGGGTGCCATTAGTCGAAATGTGTTAAATTTTATTCACACAATTTATACACACCTTTGGCTTTTTGGAAAACCGTACTCCTGCAGTTAATAGTTTAAATATATCATGCTCGTCCATTTTCGTTGCTAAATTTCATCGCACGTGCATTTGTTTTGCTGCAACCAGAGTTGCCATACCATAAAAAACGAAGGCACAAAATGTGCTGTAATGCGCACTATCATCGATTTCAATTTCAAATAATTCATTTGATAAATTCAATTAATTAATTGAATAAATTACCTTTCGTGATTTTTAAATTATATTTTTTCCGTTCAGAAAACAAAAGCATAAACCGATGATCAGCTGCTAGAAGACATTCAACTTAGTCATAAAATAAAACACCATCCTAATCCTTACATTAATTTCTTAAGATTATGGAATTTTCAATCTCAGGGCTCCATGGCCACTAACTCATCCATGAGGTCAACACGCCTTCGCAGTCCTTGATTGTTACTCTCACTCCCTTTAATGTCATCCACTATGCCGCCCCAGGTAAAATTTGTCCGTCCTTCAGAAATCGACAGCTGATCCAAGTAATCATCCCTGAACTCCTCGCAGAGATTGTGCATGGCACAAATGCTCTCCACTATGAGACGGACTTCGTTCAGATCTCGCGCCTCCAGGGCGTACAGAGTGTTGAAACGACGAGCCAATGCGTCGAGGACCTTCTCGGCCAGCTGGAAAGCAGGCTTCATCAGATCGTTGAACACTGCATCCTTGCGAAAGCATTCTGACTCGATGGGTCGCATCAAATACGATTTGAGTGGAAAGACACTATTTCCAATGAGGTAGCTGCCGGCTGGCATTGTCCTAGGGTTCAACGCAAGTGTTTGGCCAATCGGCGAATCCTCGAATGTGTACTCGTGGGCCAGTTCCACATAGCAGTCGATGATTTTTTTCTCGGCATTGCAGATGAGTTGCAGGACAACTGGAACCTCGGCATGCTCCGACTCCAGGAAGACATCCAGGCGCTTCAGCGTAATGATGCCGAACAGCTCTTTGAAGCACTTGAGCTGCGGAAGGCTCTGATAACCCTGCAGCGTGTTCTGTTGTGCTGCCAGAGAGTTTGGCCATTTGATGAAACTCTCATAGTTGTCGGATATAACATTCCAGAAGCTACGCACCACCTGCTGGCAGAGTGCCCACGGCAGCTGATACTTCCTAGAAATCTCTTCGAAGTGTTCGTCGGTGGCTAGTTTCCACATGGCCAGCGAAAACACTGTCTGAGGCGGAGGGCTCGGGTACCCGGGCAGGCTAATTTCCTGTAGTATCTCCCCCAATGATTGTTGAATTTTCTGCAAAGGGTGGGCGGAATTAAATGACTTTGCCAGGGGCAGGGGTGTTTTCTCCGACTTTGGCACTTACCAGAAACGATAGCTTGCGCATATGCAAATAAGATTCGAATTGAGCCTCCACATACCGGTGTAGGAGGTTTAGATCCCCATATGTCCACTGCAATTTGGCAATTTTACGAGGTTTCTGCGGCTTCGCTTGTTCCATTGTCTCTCTGCGCTTGAGATTTGAGGACGAACCACGTTTCTGCTGCATTAATGCAAAGATCTCCGCCTCGTCGTCATCACTGGCCGCCAGAAGGGGGTAATTATTCGATGAAATCTCTGTTGGCCCATCGCCTTTGGGCTGCTGATCAATCAGCAAATCCTTAGTAATAATAGAAGCAATATTGGCCAAAACAGCGCGCTCCTCCATGGTTTGTTTTGTTGTCTGTCTGTCGTCGTATGATTCTCCGGTTTTGTGGTGGTTCCGACGCCCAACAACCCCTTGAAGTAAATGTATGTGCAAACACGCATGTGTGTTCACACTCTCGCGGTCAGCTGTTTGGGCGCCACTTTACCGGTATTTGAATGTTGCGTCTTGTGAGCTTTGGTTAATTTAATTTAATGTAGAATATTTACGAGTATATTCAAATGAATGAGTGCCTTAAAGTTATTTTAGAGATGTTTAAAAAATTCCTGTGGGACAGTTCTGCCAGAATGGTTGTTTTGTTTAGTCGATAGTATCGTAAACACGATATTGGCTAACGGTTATTCGCAGGGACTGCCGTGGTAATTGCATTCCACGGGCGCTACAAATCAATAAATCAATCAAATGAGTGAAAACCATTAATATTTGCAGCAGATCAAGCTCACCCAATGCAGGTTTCTCCACCTCAAATACATCCCATGTGCACTTGTGCAAAGTTGGATCAGATCTTCTTATGCCCTGCCGATTTCCCGGTGCCGAGGCTCCTTCGCGCAGCATTTGGACGCGCTGCCGCAACGCTGCCAGAACCTCAGAATGTCTCGTGGAATACACCAAATTGTTTTTCTCACACGGATCGTCCCAAATATCGTACACACACTCCTCTACCAAAGGATTGCAGCCTCGTTGAAGATCCCCGCAGCGGACGGCAGCCGACCGTCGCAAGGTCATCACCCGCTGCTGCGTCATGCGTCGAATATCGTGGCGGGCTAGGGCTCGGGAAGTGGGTGAATTGCGTACCGTCACCACATAGCGGCTCTCACGAGGATCCAGGTCATCTAGCTCGCGGTAGGTGAGCACTTGATCATACTGTCCCGCCGAAGTGGTGCCGTTTATATACTTCCAGTGTCCCATTTGGAATGAAGTGACCCGCCACTCATCGTCCAAGATGTGCAGAATTTCACGCGGCACATGTGGTGCATCCACAGGTCCTGCCAACTGCGGCCACAAGTCTATGCCATCCAGCTCGAGAGTGTGGGGCAGCCCGATGCCCGCGGCATGAGCCAGAGAGGGTAGCCAATCCGCCACATAAATGGGCTGGGTGAAAATGTTGCCGCGTGCCTGCAGCTGCGCACTCCAAATGGCGCCGGCTACGCGCACTCCTCCCTCCCAAGGAGTGTTCTTTTGGCCTCGGAGCGGCCAGTTGGAGCCTGTATTGGCAAACATGCCCACTGACGGAGCGCCATTGTCAGAGTAGAAGATCACAATGCTGTTCTCCAGCTGACCCGTGCTGTTCAATGCGCTGACAATGCGCCCCACACTTTGGTCAAGCTTGGAGACCATGGCTGCAAAGGTTCTGTTAATCAGCACGAACATTTTTGGGGTAAAAAGAATCTAACCAACCTGCATATTTCCTTCTGTTGGGATCCTTAATGTAAGCAAACTTTCGAATCTCCTCCTCAGGTGCCTGCAAGGGATCGTCTTCATTCGCCGTGTGTGTGGCGAGATGGCTGAGTACCAGGAACAAAGGCTGCTCCTGCCCTTCCCGCTCCCTTATCACACGCTCCGCCTCGTTGGTCAGCAAGTCTGTGACATATACGCCACGATCCCTGCACTCCAGCTCCATATTCCGACGAAAGTCATAGCCGAGAGAGTAATTACGAGCGGGCATCTTCGAGCGCCTCTGATAGTAGTCTATGTAGGCGCCCCAGTAGCCATAGTGATAGTCGAATCCGCGTCGGGTAGGCGTGTACTCCGGACGGGAGAAGCCCAAATGCCATTTGCCTATCAAGTTGGTGGAGTAACCGGCCTGCTGAAAGATCTCCGGCATCAGTGTGGCATTCAGAGTAAGTCCCCAGGGTTCCTCATTGCTAATTACAAAGTGTTGAGTGCCTGTTGCATAAATTGATTGATGAACACCAACTTTTACAAGACAGTAGATATTACCTGTGTGTATTGGATAGCGACCGCTGAGGAGAGCTCCACGAGATGGAGTGCACATGGCCGGCGCATACAAGCGGTCCAGAATCCGTCCATGGAAGGCCAAGGCATCGATATTGGGAGTTAGAAACTCCCGTCCACCGCGAAAGCTGACATCATCGAACCCCTGCAATATATTACAAATGCTGGTTTGTTTTGGAAAATCGGTGCTTTATGTCTGAGAAACTTGTTCTACCATGTCATCGGCCAATATAATGATTATATTGGGACGCCCTGCTGTTTCTGCTGTTGCTGATGCTGCTGATGCTGGTGTCTCATCTGTCTTCGCTCGTTGAAAGCAGAGTAAAAGCAATAGAAACGCTGATAAGCCTTTCATTGTGTGTTACTTAATTTCCAAACTAATGAACTAATTTTAATCGCGTGCTGCGTACCGCTATGTACAACAGCTCCCAAGCAACTGACGGTGGGAGAGAGGTCCACGTAATATCTTGCCACGAATCGACTCGACTCGGCTCGATTTCAGTTTCAGTCTTTGGGTCTGTTTCAGTTTGTTTAAGTTGCGAGGGGTTCGTCCAAATTAGCAGCCACTCACAAACTTGATTGACTATGTAATTAATGTTCGGCAACGACAACAGGCTGTAAATGCAAGACTTTTAAGTTGATTTTGATTGGCTTCCGTTGAGTAACTGTAGGAGCCAATACTAGACAGATCAAGGGTGTTTTTTATATTTCTTCCCAATTTCATACGTGGAAGAATTCGTCCGTAACTTACACCATCAAACATGGGAAGTTTATTGTTTGCTTTTTTTGCTCTACTTCATTTTGTAAAGGTTTTCTCTTCGGCTTATCAATTCACCAGAACCAGAATTTGTCATCGAGAGTGTCTTCCGCACCTATATATTCATTAGTGTGGTATCGGATTGCTACTAAAAGACGAACGATTTATTAAATAAAGCTTAGAGAGTAATTGAACAGAGGCTACATAACTACATAACATCTATCTAGCACTACACTACCAGAGTCCGCTTTGGCTTGGTTGCAGTCACACAGAGCTAATAATACTATAAAGAGTCACGCACTCATAGCTAGACACACACGTTAAAGGCATAATCTGATCCCAGATGCATCGTTTCCTCTTGGCTGATGATCACCAGACAACGCTCCGCACCGCCGCCGGCAGACCGCAGATGGCATTGTGTACGGGAATGGCCAGGAAGCCGGCCAGGGCAATGCCATAGGAGTCGGACTGCACCACCATGGCCATGGCGAACTGCTGGCGCTCGGGTGATATTTCCTTGGACATGCGGTAGAAGGTGTTCACGTAGGCGCCGCCACCCAGCAGTCCTTCCCACAGGACGATGACGAAGACGATCCAGATGCTGGGCGTGTACCACCAGATGACCTCGGTGAGGAAGTAGATCACGTTGACGAACTGGAAGACGG